GAACCAGCGATGTGGCGTGTGGGCAGTCTTCCAGTTCCCGTCCCGTGCAGTCGCTGGAGGCGCCCAGTGTTAATACTACTACTAGTACTACTGGCTCCCATATTCTTACGTCCACTCCAACGCCGCATCCGCTGAATCCGGCAAGTCTTCCTTGCCGTTGTGAATTAGGTACGTACACGGTACACTTACCAGTTAATAGCCGATTTGCCTTACTGTATAAACATCTCAACACAGTTTCTCCCAAAGAGCCGCGCTATAGAAACTACATAATTCAGACAATCAGGTTAAAACTCAGAGCATAACTTATTTCGTAAAAACAATCGCATTTCTAAAAACAATTGCATCGTAAAATCAATCGCAGCGGCCTTTTTGGAGTCATAATCTTGTCTGTTTTCTTAAAACATACTGTTAAAAAAGTACTGTACAAGCCCGGTGATTTATTTCCTGTGTAAAGGTACATGGAGATTAATAAAGATCCGTGTTTTACGTTAAGCTCCATACCACGGCCCGCTGCACCGCGCTTTTTACGCACTCCGTGTATTTGCATTTGGAATGGCTTTTGCCCGGCAAATATTGTTAGGGAACGTATAAACACATTGAACACTTATCGTCAACTCGAATTTAATTACAGTATCTTAATTCATCGTAGAATAACATAATTTTATTATTGCAAGAATGGCAGTGTAGCGGATGCTTTTTAACGGTATGAGTCTTCATATGTAGTACATACAGAGGGTGCGGCAGCCAAATTGAAACAACTTTTCAAAATTTGTTCAAAAATCGATGACATTTACTGTAACCTGTTATTCGAGCAATGGCGAATAACTTCTTCCAGGAAATTAGCATCATTCAAGAGCAAATACATTGTAGGAATAAATGGTGATAAACATTGCCGAATAATTTCAAAATCAAAATTATTGAGAATTTTTGAATGAGCTGTTTCAATTTGGCTGCCGCACCCTCTGTACTTACGATTAATGTACTGCTTACATACTTTTTGAACCTTTACGTCGCAGGACCTGCTTATACTGCTTATACCTGCTTATACGCTACGAACTTATACAGATATACGTTACCTGCTTATATATATACGTTAACCTATATATATACGTTAACCTATATATATACGTTGACCTATATATATACGTTAACCTATATATATACGTTAACGTTACAGATGTACGTTAACCCTGCTTATACGCTACGAACTTGTACAGATAGTAGTGACAGTGATGTATTTATTATTGGTCCAGCAGCTAACTTACTTTTTACTTTTCGTCCTGACGTTGATTTTGCTATTTACTTTACTATTTACTTTTCGTGATCTTTCAGTATTACTATTACTCACTTTTTACTTTTTACGTCGTAGCCTTGCTTACTTTTGACTTACTTACGAGTAGTATTTGCTAGTAAAATAGTATTTACTATTCGTGTTTAAATTTGGACATAAATCGCAGTGCGCAGCAAATTTTTCAAAACTGCTTTTACAGAGGCGCTAAATACAGAAACAATTACTTTAACTACCATTTTGGCAGTACGCAGAGGATTTGTTACCTCGTTTAGCGTATTTTTTCCTCGAAACGATTTTGCCTTGTGTAAAGCCAATGTGTTTGACCAATTGACATGCAAAACACTGCATGGTACCAATGTACAATCATAGCGAATAAAAACAGCAAAATCTCAATGAATTATGCGATTGCGTTTACCATATGTTACATTCGGCAGTCACGTAACTCGCGCATCAAGCGGTCGCTAGCACCTGCGCTGCAGCGAAAATTTAGCGCTAACGAAGAAAATCTGTTTCGGAAGAGTGTACATGTTACGGAAAAAGTGAGTTTAACAGAATTTTGTACTGCCGGTTCCGTTATACTGTACTCGTTGCGGACAAAATTAATAGTACTCGTAAAATAGATAATTTTGCTGCTTAAACTTTCTCTATTCTGCTACTCTTACTTTTGCTCACTACATTCGCTTTTCACGACGCGGCTGATCTTACTTTTACTTTCTGTTTAATTTTTCGTTTTCACCATAGAGTAGTGTTTACTTAATTAGTAAAACACAAAAAAAGTCTTACTAAGTAAGGTTTACTATTTACTTTTACTAAGTAAAACAACGCTAACAGATACTGTACTCATACCAAGTCGGTGGTTATTACAGAGCGCCAGATCAATGTCACCTGGCTGGTGCGGGACGCTGATACGTGGCAGGCCCTGAACAGCATCACCCTGCACGCCCTGGCCGTCGTGTATAACGGCGGGGATGTGCCATTCGACCGTCAGACCGTCCACACCAACTCCTTTGGAGAATTCACTCTGTCCTTGCCGACGGTCACGGATGCGCATTATGGAATAATCATTTGCTCCACCGGATTCTATCCGCTAACCATCAACAACGTTCACCGCCTGTTGACTGTCCATCCAAAAGCCTCCATGGAGCCGCTTCTGTTCATCAACAACACCTTCACCGGAACCGGCCAAGCCAGGGGCGAGCTGAAGCTGTTCCGTACAACGGATCAAGTGGATCCACCGGCGGACCGCGCCACCATCGATTTCCGCTCCGGAATTAATCAACAACGTTAACGGGCCGGTACTTGTCAGTACTGTGACACCGGCCAGTGGCGAGTGGAGCATCCAGGCTTTCCCCACCGGTTATTACACCGCCGTGGTCACGCGCACTGGATGGCAAGCCAAGCATTTCACGTTCGTTGTTCTGGGCGGTAAAGAAATGCCCAAGCTATGGCACGGTCTTGTGCCGGACACTGACTGCTCCAGTGAAGCGCAAGTGCGCATAATGATGCTGCAGGAGCAGCGCTGGATGCGCTACTTGGAGCTGGTGGTGGAAGGCCCGCAGCGGTCCCCCGGCGGGCAGCGCGGCCGGGTAGAGTCCACCGGGCGCCGCGTCAGTGCCGACGGATTCCTGCACAACTGTTTTGTCAGCCAACGACTGGACATCACTATGATCAAAAAACAGCTGCCCGGTGACTACCGGGTCACGGTCTACGACCACGCAGCGCGTCGAACGCCGGACGACGGGAACCTGGCCCGGTCCAACGCCGTGGTGCAGATATACCGCGGAGCTTTCCTCTGGTCGCAGCTGTACGTGCCCCACCGTACAGGCAACACCTGGCTGGTAGCGGCGTTTAACGGGCTCAACCTCACCGTCGTCAACGAGGTGACCTCCGTCGTGTACAATAATTAGTGAATTGTCCTGTTGTCATCGACTATTGTGCCGCCTTTGTCCGCCCTTTAGCGGGCGTCATTTCCTGCTCGGTGCCTAGACAGGAGAAGCATAAACGTTAACTTACTACTAATTACTATTAGTAACCTAAACTTAATTCCTATTAATTTTAAGTAATTTGAATTACTATTATTAATCTACTCGGGCTACGCACTTTGAAAATATCTGACTGCATTCCCATAAACCACTGTAAATTTTTACTAATAAAGCGGATGAATGTTGGCATTGCTGCACAATCGATTCACCATGTTGTGTCTGACTGTTCTGTTCTGTTTGGTTTTAGAATATCGTTATGTTAGAGTGAATTTCACTGTGTCACTATCATTAAAAAAAACCGAAACCTGGAAAAAAATCTTGTCGGAACAGCTTAGGTATACCATGAGCGCAGCAAGACCGCCTAGTACAGACTCTGCACTGCAGAGTGCATAGCCATACATTACCGCAGGGTAAGCTAGGAATGTGTTTCTAATCGTGATGCTTAGTTTTCGTTCTGCTGCCGTTCGCACGGGACGTTCTAATTAAATTAGGCTTGCGATGTGGTCGCACAGTGATCTGGTGTTTCTCGGCTCTGGTAATTGTAAATTCGTAATATAAATAATAGTGACTGCGATGTACAAATACTGGGATTCCACAACGAAACCTATGGAAAACATCAGCATTTTTCTTGATTTTTTTTCCGCACACCTAAAATGCCAGCGAATTACTGTACGTTAGGTAATATTATAGCCGCTCACGCTGCGGTATGATTCTGGAAAGAGAAAAATAAAGTGGCAGACGCATGAAAGAATGAAACTTTCAACATTTAAGCCATACACAGTTACAGCTTAGTACTAAGGAGACGCATATTAAATCCCACCCACAGCATTCCGTACGCATGCGGCGCAGTGCGCTGTACGACTCAGCTAAAATAAATAAGTACTGTAATAATATTATCCGGTTGTCATACAAGTGCACTGGCCACATGCGTACGGATATCTGGGTATGGGGATATGCGTCTTTTTAGTTCTTACATTCATGATACCAAAAATCCAATACCATTTTTATCCGTTATTAATTGGGTAGAAAGTAGAAACGTCCGGTCACAGACTTAAAACAAGCCGAAGTTTTAAGTAAACTGCCACATTAAGTTTTTAGGTAAACTATCACATTTTGTAATTTTGTTTGGGCTGGAAAATTCGGTGAACTGACTGGATAACGTGTACAGAGTACTACGCTTTCCTCGTGCCTTTTAGCTTAGCCATCATAAGAGAAACGCTAAACGCCAAACTCCTATCCTTAGTTTATTAAGGGAAACGCTACGGCTATGTAAAACACTGTATCTTCTAATCCACGGAAAGATCGTGGTTGCTTTTTAAAGGTTTAAGAAGAAGTTATACCGTGTTCGTGGTCTGAACGGCAGCATCGCTTGTGCGCGATGCGCACACCCTTGATAGCAGAAACTGCACAAATCTACCATGTGAAGACCGAAATACAGTAATATTAAACATTATCGTTAATAAATAAGTGTTCAATTTGTACGGTACTTTGTAGCTTTGCCACTTGCCTGAACTGAATACACTGAATACAGCGCCGTGAATGTTGCAGTAAATGTGTTAAATACTGTAAACAAGTCTGGCAACACTGTTCGGCTCTGCCGATAAGAAACTTTATGGTTGCCACGGCACCGGACACTTTCGTAATTGCATGCTACGGCGTCTGAGAAGATTTGTAGCGTTGTTTAGTAATAAGTGTTTATAATTAATTATGGTTGTTTTCAACCAAGTGCGACATCCCGTCGAACCCCGGCACTCAATAACCCGTTAAAAGTATTAATCCTGTGTAGGTAATTCCTTATCGCGAGTCAGCGAGTGTGCGTCCAAACGTCACACGAGCTGCGATTGTACGATGGGGAAGAATTAACAACAAGTGTGCGCCTTCGGCAGTATTACTAAATATCTTGGTGTCCCTTTGGAGATTTTCTCTTCGTGGGCGAACAGAATTGAGACATGTCGGTTTAGTCGTTGGATTTTTTTTTGTATGAAAGTCGTTGGATTTTTCACTGCGTATTCTGGTAGCGCAGCCATACTAAGGGAGTACTTTTGCAAGTTATGCTGACAATAATTTGCTTTCGGCAATAAAATTATGTTATCCAAAGCGGAGAAAATCCTAAAGAATCAGGTTAGTAGCAAATGCTGTGGCGAAGCAGCTAACGACGTTACGTACTTGGACTATGCAGATTTTGTAATCTAGCAACGCTTTATTTCACGATTTTCATGGCTACAAGTCTACAACCAACACTATTGCTTGATAGTTGACATTACTCTCGTAAGTCAGTATTATTTCCGCCGTAGTTTGACGGTTCACGGTTGCATATATTATTTAGTTACTGAACTGTAGAAAAAAATACCAGAATGAGTGATGATAGCAGTGACAGACCCAGTGAACATTCTGCTGAGCTTCCCAGGCCTAGGAAGACAACCCGTCACGCATCCGTCCGCTATTAAAAGGTCAGTTCTGGCTGCACTACAGGTCGCCGCGGATCCTCTGGTAGTGGCTGTGGGACCATTCGTCGTGAGCCAGTTAGCGGGAGGAAGTTGAACTGCAGTTTGATGGATAGATGGAGAATAAATGCTGAAATGCTGGTATCTGTAGATATTGCGCTGAATAAATTCGAAAGCCTACAAGGTGGTGTGCGGCGTTGCATCTACAAAATGATGTAAATGTATCGCTAGTTGTAAATTACGACTATCTATAACAATAACTATATTCGAATAATTACAACTTGTAATTATTCCAAGATAGTTATTGTTATTTTCTAGTCCGTTATAGATAGAGGATAGAAAGTATTTGGATTTGTTTTCTAACATCAAAACGTCTACATAATATTAATATGAAAATAGTGTCCTTGCGCTACAAACTATTGTTTTCTTGGTTGGTAAATGCTTTGTTCTAAGAAATCAGAAATGAACAAGTACATACAGTGAATACGACAGTAGGCACTTTTACATGTACCGAATATGTACAGATGTGTATCTATATGTAACTAGCACAATAGCCACTGAAGCCTGTTAACCCGGCAGCGTCTGCCAGGTGCAAAAAGCACAACTAAAGTTCCCCAATTTTTACCAAACCAGAATAGTCGATATTATTGCAACTATAATAATTGTATGCTTTCGATAGAGCAAACATTGCTCTGTATTTAAATTTAAGAAAAGTTCTACAAAGTGTATATAAATCAGCGCTTATGTCGGAAGACTGATATTAAATTAGTATCAACGTCGTCATAACATATCGACGGTCCAGTAATCCAAAAAATTTTACAGCTCAGATTAAAAAACAATGAATTTTCAAAAACAGCTGGTGCAAATTGCACCGCTTGGGCATTGCCGGAGAGTAGTAACATGTTGCCTGAACAGGCAGAGTGATCCGAGCCGCATACTCATATGATGCAGCCGTTGCTCGCTTATGAATAGTCGACCATACCTGGCAGTTAATTGATCGAAAAACAAAGCAAACGAGGTCACCTGATTGATTCTGTAATTCAAACAGCAGTAGGAAATCGTTTCCCTGATTATATTATAATGTTTTCTTCGAGTGCTATAAGAACAATAACTATAAAAAGACGTTGTGGTCGAACAGCCAGTCAACAATATGGCTGACCGTGCACCGTTTTGTGAACAAGTAAACTGGCGCAGCCAATTCTGGCCCTGTTACATACCGACCGGAAGTTGCAAATGTTTAGCTAACTATAACCAGGACCTATCAAATGCAAGCAAATTCGAGTAAATCGGAAATTCGGAATGTCACAAAGTTGTGTACGAAGTAATTTGTTCCATGTCGCACAAGCACACTGTAGAAAAGCGCTGCTGTCATGCCCAGGTGGTGCAATTTGCACCTAGCCTTCAAATTTTAAACTACTGCAGCAAAAATTTTGAAAAAATTAATTTTAGTTCATTATATTACGTTATTATTATTGTTATTCTATGGTAAGAATTTCAACTTGGACAAAAAATTCCTTGATACCCCGGGAAATGCCGGGTTACTATGCGCCTTCTCTTATAAGTACTGTATTCAATGCCTCCACTCTGTATTGTACGTTTGATGTACAGTACAAAGCACTACGTAGTGCCTTGTACTGTACATTAAACATACTCGTATTAAAAATAGCCAATGTCGAAGAGCCGGCCAAAGGGAAGCATAGGAGGAAAGCTGCTTGAATATGCATGAATATATTTCGGACGGCACTGAATTGTCACTTAATCTGCCACAATAGGCATTAGCATACAACGCAAATTATAAACTGGCTGAATGCCGGCAGCATTTTTTCGGTGTCGTCCCAAAGCGCAATGCACCTGAACTCTTTGAAGCGAACCGGGGCTGTGATGCAACAGTGAAGCACGACAAACAGTCAGCACGTTATACTCTGCAACAGCACAATTAGGCTAATGCACCGAATATTTCATCACTCGGCAGTGCGCTGGATGGCTGACCGCGATCAACGTTAGTTACTATCATTGTAGTGCTGGGTTTGAGCATCATTTACTAAAGGTCACCAGCAAGCGGGAATGGTTCTTGCTGGATACTGCTGCCGGTGATACTCGTAATTGACTTATGCTGAGCCCGATACTTTGAGTTACTTTGGGATAGTAGCCGTTTGTGCAGCAGCGATAAGAGAGTGTGTTGCCTTTGGATAGCACATCCCCATCCTCCATACAGTGCCCGGTCCGTCCACCAGGATGGCGAGCGGGACAGCGCAGCGCATCCTGATCGCTGCTCTAATAATCCTCGTCGCCGTTGGTTATCTCTTATTAGCACTGCGTCTACCGACATCCAGCTATTTTGCGCGTCATTTCACCTGTATTCGATCAACATCACCCTGGAAGGATACCAATCCGGTAGGCGGATTACTTTTTCCAATTACCATGCAGCGAGCAGCGTGCACTTTGACCTTAATTTTATCCCGAATGCGTTGCTCCACGGTAGAAAACTGGGTATTTTTTATTACTCTCGTGACTTGTGTACAAGATTGTCTACAAGCACTTATTATCACGTAACCGGATTTTGAGCGTTTTTGTTATGTGCACCAATGCGGAGCATACGCAACAGACGCACTACAGATACGCAGTTTCCCGGTACGCCTTAGTGTGAAAGTGGCCGGAATGCGATCAACGTCCCAATAATGAAATTATGAGCCAACATGCCCGGTTGTACTGCAGAAGTGTGCGTCCACAAAAGCCACCGGCGCAGAGCCGGACGCCGACATGGTCCGGCTGCGTGGCGACTTGCAGCGGCGCCTGTCTGGTCGGATGGAAGCGGCTAAGCGATACCGCCGACAGCTGCGCCAGGCCTTCCCGACGGTCTCCAACAACACGCTGACCAGCAGCGCTGCCTCCGCGGCCCGCTTCCTGACGTACAACTACCGGCCGATCCTGGACGCGGGACTGGGCAACTTCCTGTTCCAGACGGCCACGCTGGTGGGCTGTGCGCGACAGAACCACCGCATCCCGGTCCGCATTGCCCACGACCCGCGGACGGACTTGTTCGAAGGAATGGACATGGCTTACATTGACCCGGCGCTCCTCTTTCCCAACAATTCGCTGGCCGCGCGGACTCTGGGTAAACTGGAATAGGGCGTTAACATGCTGGACCGGATTAGCATTACCTATATACCGTAGTCGTGCATGCACTGAGCAATAAAGCTGGCTTCCTTTTAACGGTAATAACAGGCACTATTTCACGGTGAAATACAGAGTAATGTTCAAACGCAAATACTGTAGAAAAGTAATGCGTAGAAAAATGTGACGTAAATTCAACGTGAAAATCATTTTCGCGCTCGATTAAGGCGCCTGTTTTTTTCCCATCGTTTTGCCAGTTTTGGAGCAGTCGGGCTACAAACACAACCCAGCTACAGCTAACGCAAGCATAGGTTTCTGCAGTTTTTTTCCTAATTTTTTTAGTACATGAGAGTACTGAGAAAATTATTTTTCATACAAAAATCGAAAAGAGAGAAGAAAAGTGCACTTTCAGAAACCGTCTGGAATTTTTCGCATTATACTGCCGCGCCGAGCGGCTGCAATGGCATCGACCACCGCAAGCTCCTGAATTTTCTTCCTTAGAAATTTGTACCGAAGTGGTTTTCGTGAAAATTACATTGTGTTAGACAGAAAAGTGAATTTCACATGAGTACACGCTGCTCTGAAGAAAATTTATCGTGATCGTTCTGAGCTATGGTTTTTCGAAGCGATGTTCTGCGCTTTCCCAGCAGTCAGAACTGCAAGTGCTGCTACTACGTCCTTTAATTTGTCGCTGATCTTAAAAGGATATATTTTTGCAGGCGACTTGGGTCCGGGACGATTCACTCCCGTCTTTCACAACGTGAGTTCGCGCTTCCCCGACAGCGCCGCGGCGTTATCCGGGTACGGCCAATCCTGGAAGTACTTCCATTCTGTCGGCCCCGAGATCCGCGCGCTGTTGACCTTTAAGGAGACCATTCAACGGGAAGCTGTCAACGCCATCCTAGAGGGTGTGAAGAGCTTGCGCCAGCATGGCACGCTGACTGCCGACAGTCACCGCCAGCGGCCGGTGCGCGTGGGGATCCATGTGCGCCGGGGCGACATCATCAGCAACGCCGGGTTCGCCGCTCACGGCCACGTGGCCGCCACGGAGGAGTACCTGCTGCGCATGGCGCTGCGCATGCAGCGCCGCTACCCGCACGCCGTCTTCTTCGTCCTCAGCAACGACCTGGACTACTGCCGGCGGCTGTTCCGCGAACCCAACGTCGTCTTCGTCGCCGGGAAGCCGGCCGCCGTGGACCTGGCCGTCCTGACCTTTATGGACGTGCTGGTGCTGAGTGTGGGCAGCTATGGATGGTGGGCGGCGTACCTGAGCGACGCGCAGGAGGTCGTTTATTTCAAGGACTGGCCGCGGAACGGCAGTGAGTTTGCGCGGGGTTTAGAAGCGGACGACTACTTCCTGCCGGCATGGCACGCTGATAATTAGCCGGCTGACGGCGCAGCACCGCCCAGCACAGGTCACCAGCGACAGCAGAATTCAACTATGGTGCTATTTGTCAGACCGTCTGGTTTTTTTATTGCGTACTTCTGCGTGCTTTCAGAAAAATGCTTCTGATATGGTACTCGTAATATTTGTTTTATAATTTCCAGTGAGTAGCTCTTATTACTGATGAAATGAGATCATTGTGTAAGTAGAATTACTGTGTTATGCTTCGATCAGTTTTTAATGATTTTTGCCAACTGCACACCGCTCCGCTGCAAGTGCCGCAAAGGTCAGCCGCAAGAAGAAAAGCATAGAAAAACGTGCATATGCGTACAATGTCATACTATTATACGTAAAGGACAGTTAGCTAGCTAAGTGAAGTTAAATTCGTGGTAAATTCCATGTATTGCTTTGTTTCGCGTCGGCTCAGCCCACTTTCTTTGTTATGGCTGGCGAATACGCGTGAGTTGCCGCCGGCCGTGCACACGGCCCCACTGCTTTTTGCATTCTCTTCTGATCAGTCGTGTTGACGAGCTGCTGTATTATCATTCTGATGATTAGCCCTCTCCTGTTTTTCATTTATTCACTTATTTTCCCTCAACATTTTCATAAATTAAGAAATTCCACCAGTGGAATCAGTAAATAATGCCTCCAGCCACCAGGAGCAAGAAAACTGCTAAAAAGCAGCGCAGTGCCGTCGGGAACCCTTGCAAGAAAGTGCCATCAAGAAAGCGCCTTAAAAGTGTCATTGTTCGGCCTGAGCCATCTGGATCGAACGATGTTCACTTAATGGAGCCTACTCTTCAGTCCGTCTTCCAGCAGCAGCAAAAACATCAGCAGCAGCTGGACTCGCTGCTCACCATCATGAAATCTCAGCAGCCTCAAGCAATCCGGCCGCTGTCGCCTTCGTCAAACCTTCAGATCCAGCTTGGTGACGACTTCGGGAGAATCGTGCGCCAAGTGGACTCTGCAAACAAGGCGGATAAAGGAAAACGCAAGCGTCATCGGAAACGAGGTGAGGAAAGTGGTACCTCATCCTCTGAACAGGAAAGCGACAATGACAGCTCGCCGGAGCGTAGCGCAGTGCCCCAGCGCCATGGCAACCGCCCTGATGTGTTCAGCCACTTAGGGCCACCGATGCTGCAACCGTCTGCATCTGATTCTTCTGTTCACCAGCTGCCATCCATTTCGGATAAAAAGCTACGAAAGAAATTGCTAGACCTTTCGGAATATGTGGACTTTGATCTGCTGCTGCGGCGAAACAGGGTCGAAAAGCCCAAAAAGCTGCAGTCGAATCTGTCCTTTGTGGATGGAAAGATAACCCTTACCCCTGAAGATGGCAAAGTCAGAATTGACTCGTTCGAGGCATGGGCAGGGGCCTTTTCCGTATTTGCCAGCTACCGCATCACCGTTGCACCGCAGTTAAGCGCGAAGTTTTTCAAATACCTGGCCATTGTTGCGTCGTATGCTGAGCGTGACGTACCAACCGCTAATTGGCTTGAGTATGACAGGCAGTTCCGTGCGTTCATGACCAGCCACCCGCGGGAGTACGATCTCTGGGCGCATCAGCATGAGGATACGTACATCGACTGTATCCAAAATCCGCTTCGTAACACGCGTGTAGAGCTGACTGACAATATTCGCCGCGTGAAGGAACCGAAGAAGGACGACGAATGCCGCAACTGTGGCATGGCTGGGCACTTTATTAGCAGCTGCCCGCTGCCACGGAAGGGGCAATCAGGGCATGGCCAGCCCCTTCAAAGCGTTCCCGCCGCTGAAGCAGATATCTGCCGCAATTTTAATTTCGGCAGCTGCACGACGCCCTGCAAAGCGCACCGGATTCACACTTGTTTCCGGTGTGGGGATTCCAGCCACCGGGCCGTCAACTGTACGAAAGCCGACCCTTAAGGTGACAGTGCCGGCGGGTGCGCGTTTCCATGCATGATGCACCACGCCATCGCCGCCGCCGGACGGCTTGCCGACTATCCGCTTGCCGACTACAAATGACATGGTAAAACTACTGCTACGATGTGCCTGATGCTAATCCTACAAGCCGGGCGCTGGTGATGTCATCGTTACAGCCGCTACGTTCACCACCCCGGGCCACCTCAGCCTGAGAAACTTTACCGGACCGGACAGATTGTATGGGGGCAGTCGGGCGGAAGTGGGTATCGGATACACGTTCTGGTGAGGTCGCCACCTGCACCCTCGATGTCGCATACGCCGCCGAGCCGCCGACCTGCACTCCCGCAAACACGTAATCTATTCTTGTCGCTGCACGCTTGTGTAGTTGCAATCGTCGCTTATGATAATGCCGCCGGACACTGGAGGGATATCGCCGTTAGAAGCGCTACCAAATGCCTGACCGCGAAATCCAGCTGGACCGACAGCCGCCGGACACTGGAGGGATATCGCCGTTAGAAGCGCTACCAAATGCCTGACCGCGAAATCCAGCTGGACCGACACTGGCGAAGCAGCTACCTTACCGTTACATTTCACCACTCCGTGCCACCTTCCATTATGAACCCTTACCGGACGGAGTAATTTGTTTGGGGGCAGTCGGGTGGAAGTGGGGATATCGGAAGCTCGAACCGGTGAGGTCATCACCTGCACCTTCGATTTCGCATATGCCGCCGCGCCGCCGACCTGTTCTACCCGCAAACGCCCAATTCCTTCTGCTGCGTTTTGTACGGAATTTCCACAAGAATTTAAAGGACAGTTAGCTAGCTAAGTGAAGTTAAATTCGTGGTAAATTCCATGTATTGCTTTGTTTCGCGTCGGCTCAGCCGCTTTCTTTGTTATGGCTGGCGAATACGCGTGAGTTGCCGCCGGCCGTGCACACGGCCCCACTGCTTTTTGCATTCTCTTCTGATCAGTCGTGTTGACGAGCTGCTGTATTATCATTCTGATGATTAGCCCTCTCCTGTTTTTCATTTACCACCCGCCCACCCTACATGGTGGCCTTTGATGTTATTGCTTTCGCAACTGTCCTGTTACTCAATGCAATAAACGGGGGCAGTCGGGTGGAAGTGGGGATATCGGAAGCTCGAACCGGTGAGGTCATCACCTGCACCTTCGATTTCGCATATGCCGCCGCGCCGCCGACCTGTTCTACCCGCAAACGCTCAATTCCTTCTGCTGCGTTTTGTACGGAATTTCCACAAGAATTTAATACAAAATTAATACGGCTCTTGTGTACTGTCCGCAGTACAAGTACGTAAGGATGGTAATATCCATGAGAAAGCCGGATATGCTGCGCGCAAACCGTTTCCAGAAGAATGTATACAAATCATTTTGCTTTAGAATGACATAAGTATTGCAAAAAAAGTGATTGATTCGGAATGCGCGAAAGCGAAATGTTTAGTGTTATGTATCCCATTTGGCTGCCCATTTCGCCTACAGGACATTTCGCCTAACAATTTGATTCGAATCATAAATAACCCAATTAAGAAACCTAAAAAAATCCAAGAAATCTAAGAAAACCGAACCAGGGGCCGGTCACCGCCCCCCCCCCCCCATAAAGATTTCATAATTTGTTTGAAGACAGGACAGGTATGAGGAACACTTAAAAAATACATTTGTCGGCAATGGTCTAGTGGTCGCGGCCAAAAACAAATTTAAGTGTCGCATGTGTTGTCAGTGTACATTGTAGCGTATTACGAGTAAATACATTGCATTGGCATTTGGCAGTACATACGGCACCCCGATCAGTGTTACCTGTTATCACTGCGTTTTCAGACTTGCTTCTTGACCACTAATTCTTTGCTTTTACAACATCCGGTTTTTAAAAATCTAACCGGTTGATCGATTTGATTTGATTGCACTGCTTACCTGACCATGAGTTACCTGTAAATTCTTCTCTGTGCTGCACGACGCGCGCGATGCTGGCAAGTACAAAGAGTCCACAAATTTTTACAAATTATCAAGCCCGTCAGTAAAAAGTAAAATTTAGCGAAAAAAAAGTTTCAAACAGAGAATATGTACATACGTACATCTGGGCCATTGGCCATAAATTATATGTGTCGTATGCACTGCCAGTGCACTAACAATACATATGGCAGGTAAATTTGTTTTTGGCCACGCCCACTGGACCATTGCCGATGAAAATATTTTTTTAAGTATTCCACTCTGTCTGCAAGCAAAATATGAAATTTTTCTGGGGGTGAGGCGGTGACCGCGCCCTGGTAAGAAAACCTAAGAAACCTAAGAAAGCCTAGAAAACCTAAGGGAAGTGGCCCGGTACATGGTACCAAATTCGTGTACATGCACGAAATCTTTCACTTTCGCGCACTCCCAAACCGTTTTTTCTCTTGTTTTATGACAATCTGTAGTCAAATGATTGTATACACAGGCCTGAAAACCGTTTGCGCGCGCAACATCCGGTTTGCGAGTTATGGCTGTAAGAAAATTCCCAAAAGTTTAAATGCTTTCAGGTGTACCCAAAGTCTCATTATGGACCGATCTCCTTCAAATTTTGCATGTAAATGCACATGGCCATGAAGATCGTTTTTACACCGATCCAGACTTCCACGATTTTTTTCAAATTTTAAAATGAATTTTAAAATTTTTGAAATTCATTTTAAAATTTGAAAAATTTTCGCAAAGGTTACGCACTGGTATGCAGTTCTTAATGGAATTTTAGACTTTTCCGTGTTTTACTGACTTGTGAGCCGGTAGATCATGCGCCCGGCTCACTGTTACTACAGACTCGTATTTTCTCCATTTTGAACTCCAAATCTGTCCGTAATAACAATCCGATTCCAATATTCGACCACCGCTGTTGCCCACGCTTAATAATAAAAAAACAAAATGTAGAATTTTTCCAAGATGGCTGACCGACTAATTCCTACTGACCAATCAATTACCTAACTACGTGTATAACGTGTTTCGCAAATATGTGTCCCCCCAATGACAGAATTCCCGCAATACCGTTCCCTCCCGGCCTCCCTTACCCTTTGTTTCGCCATGATTGATTTTTGAAGCTCTGAAGGAGCAGACAAATTTAACAAATTTATAGTATCCCCAACCCCGTTACCCCCCCCCCCCACAAAAGAGCGTCCCCTTTGGAAGGCCTTGCACAAATTTTGAACTAATTGGACACTAATCGGTATCCTAATTAGTAAAATACGGCACCGTAACTCTGCGAGTGATTATTAAAAGCTGCCAGAACCAAACCACTTTGGGAGGCGACTGCTTTATCTATGGAGTTTTGAGCCATTCGTAATGGGATAGATAACAAGTTGACTGCGGAGTCTTTCAAAATAGCCTTTTTTAAACTTCATTTGCTTTTTGTCACTACAGAGTCATAGCGGTAATGGTGTTGTGAACTGAACGAACCTGATAGCGAAATCAGTAAGCGAATGCATTGTTTGCATTTGCACAGCCTCTCGCACTCGAGGTGGCAGTTATCGCGTTAACCGGTTTTTGACATTTCCGTAGGATTTGCATGTTAGGTTTTTGAATTTTTTCTCAAAACTGGTTTTGGTTTTCACAAAACTGACTTTTTTAGGCTCATCTACACGCCTTGCGTTATCGAATGATATACAGAGACCTAAGCTTTGCTTACCGTGTCGCTCAGAAAAGGGAGACAGACACGATTTTTGTGCACCTTCTTATTCTTTTATTATAAAGGATTCTTATTCTTTTATTATAAAGGATACGAGTCTAAGCAGGGCGCAATCCGAGGGAAACCAAGAAACGGCTGAAAAAGGCGCCGATGGGGGAATCGAACCCCAGCTACGGCGTTAGATCCGCGTAGGCAGTACCACTGCACCACGGCGCAATACGTTGAAATCCTTTGAAAGATTTTGTCGCTGTACGAGAGCCGCTTCTCCGCTTACACGAGGAAAGTGAAATGCTGTCGCTGACGTTTGTACATCCTTTACGGATTACATGGGATAAGAAGTGGCCAGTGCAATATCTGTCTGCAATTTCCGTAAATTCTGATGCGCACCGGACTTCGTGTAAATGCTTACATATCTACTCATAATTGATACAATGCTCGCTCAGCTGTATGATTAAATCATTACATTTTCGCACGGCACAAGCCCGTCCGGAGTTAGAGCACGATAGAGAACAGCTAACGCATAATAAGCGCGATGTTAGCGCTTAGTCGATAGCCACTGCACTACAGTTGGCGCAACTCATGAATTCACGATGCTCGCTGTTCTCTATCGTACTCAAACTCCGGACCGGCTTGTACATGTACCTGCATCAGCGTGCACTGACCGGTGAGAAGGTATAAATTAAACGCTTAAACTCAGGACTGGCCATCGGCCTGCTTTTATTAACACTTGCGCCTTGCGCATTTCCCAACGAAAACCATCAACCAATATCTCAAACGAAAGACAAAAGAATTGCAAAAATTTTAATTCCAAACAAATTGTTTTTTATGAGATCTAAGAGAAAATTGACGCACCTAAAGTTTCTCGTAGACATGCACAGTATAGGATTTGAATCCACGGTTTGGTTTCACTCTCACACAGAAATCGTTTGCTTTGTCTACGACAAGCTACAATGGCTCGATTTTTCCTTAGATCTTATAAAGGCTGACTTGTTTGGTATTGAAATTCTTGAACGTTTTTCTCTTTCGTTTGAGATATCGGTTTGATGGTGTTCGTTGGGAAATGCGCATGGTGCAAGTGTTCAAAATCCTTGCGTGTTTCCCATTTGGTCTTAACCATCTGTTTTAATTGTTCATCCGGTCGCGGACGGAATGTAACAGGTTTTTATAGTCCACTATAACGGGTGTGGGGTACCCGCTATATATTGTCCTTGTTAAAGGCACGGTGTACCCTGAGAAACACAACATCAGCGTTAACAGTCGCAGGCACCGACAGCGGGTGTTGCTGCTGTTGACTTGAAGTTGAGTGCAGCTGTGGCTGGACGCACGGCACACACTTTCAGTAGTTCGTCAACTTAGTTTTATACTCGTACTTATATGATAAACTGTTGGTAAGGAAACGAACATTACACGTACAGAGTAATGTTCGTTTCCTTACCAACAGGCTTTCAATTTCCCAACGTTGGGAACTGAAAAACTGTGGGTACGGAAACCAAGGTATATAGGGTTAAACCTGGTAGCGCAGAAGTCGGAAATGTGCTGTATAAAAATTCAGTAATTTTCGGCACGTTTCACTCAAAGGCATCAAGTTGTAATTAAGGGCCCAAACGTATGGCACGGCCTACAGCCTAAACCGCTTAGAATTTTTCAAAACCGATTGCACATTCTCTGTCTAGTTTTTCATGTTCTTCATGCTCGTTATCGATTTGATGAGAAATTATGATTTTCTCATAAGTCGAAATATGAATATGAGTGAGCCTTTTATATGTCGTAGCAGCAGTCGGAGTGAGTGCGGTTGTAGGGCGCAGGCAGACTGTCGCTAGCGCGCTGCCTGCCTGGCCTCTAAGTATACATGCCTGATTCAAACCACATTTCTACTAGTTTACTCGACTCAGATGTTTTTTGGAATTTCGATAAACAAATTGCAGATTCAGAATCAACGTAAAATTCTACGGAGACTTTGTGTCTGTTAAAAGTTTGTAACTTTTATGGATCGTCCGCAAATCCTTGCCATACGTTTACAACTTGATGACCGTTTCGGCCATTGTTTTTCTTTTGTCTTTCGAGAAATGATAACGAGGTGTGACGGCAAAAAAAGTACTGAATTTTTAGACGTTCAGTCGCGCTACCAGGTAACCCTATATACCTTGCGGAAACCAATGAATACACATGTGACTGGTTGGTGATTTCTATGTTAACTGCTCCATTAACACCAAGAAAACAACATTTGCACTGGAGTTCATACTAAGCTGTTATTTTCAGCCGATGCAGATTTTCTTGCAGGTGCATCCCGCCCGTTTGTTGTGGGACATCGATTAATTTTATCACAGTTTGTCATCAGGATATTATCTGGACATGTATACTTTCATCACATGTATACTGGTACGGAAACCAAACGCATGTGCAACCAAATCTGAGACCGAATTAAAGGCGGCCCTTTCTCGAACGGAATCTGGCGTGGAAAGTTTGCGGGCGGCGTTGGGGCAGTGCTGGAACTATTCTGGTAAGTACACTACATTTTCGAAATAAAAACAGATTAAGCGCATCCATTATACCGCCCGAATATAATGGCATTCCGCAGAAATTCTAATGAAAAGTTTATCATAAGTATTATTGAATTTTTTCATAGTTTATTTTATAATGTTGTAGATACGGTAGTTTTTGCTTTAACCCTTGTTTTCCCGCAGCTTTTCGCCTGGTCCAGCAAGCGGAAGTGGCGCACCAGTACAAGAACCCGGTTTGGCTGCCGAAACTCTCTCCGCCTCCTCCGGGCCCCAGAGGTCACGTGCGGCGGCCCAGACTGGGTGAGACGATTAGACTGGCAAGTGCGGCCCATCCGGCATTCCCAAACGTAATCGTGTGGAAGCGTAAAGGTCATCTATTAGCCAGCCGGCAGACCGAGGGAGACCTTCGCTACAATCGCACCGGCGATAACGCTCTGCAACTGCACGACGTCACTTACGCGGCGTGGGGCAAGTTCGAGTGCCTGCAGCGCTGTCAGCAGAATGAGACCGACGACTGGTGCCTGCAGGCGGAATACTGGGTCTTCCCTAAACCAACGGCCGAATATCCCAGACTGTTCGGCCAGTGGCTGCCGGCGGTCACTGTGCCGAAATATATGCCCTTCTCGGTAACCTGCCAACTGGAGTGCCCCTGTGGTCCCGACCCGGCGCAGCACTTTATCTGGCGCTACGCCGGAGTGTACCTGGCCTGACCGCCCGGTCACTATCTGCAGCAGATCGCTTGCCTACAGGACAACCGCCAGACGCTGATGATCCACACCAACGCCTCCGAGATAACCGGCGCCGACGGTCGCCAGCACTGTGCGTCGACGCTAACGCTGCACGTGCCTTGGGCGAACCACACCGGCTCCAAGCTGGAGTGCTGGGAGCGCTCCGACACCACCCAGCAGGAGTGGTATTTCCTCACCACTCCCGTTCAGTTCAACGGGAGCCTGCCTTTCCCCGGATAACCCTGCGTATTTTCTTTGGTGGGATTATCAGTTGATTCGGTGAATTTGGAGTTAGTTAAAGTCGTTTTATTGAGGAAAAACTGTTTGACAAAAGTGTACTTAGTGTACGCGACACATTCTCAGTAAATTATTTCCAACGCCGTAATACAAGTACAACAAACTAACTGATTTTGACGATATTTTTCATCGGGTTTTCGCTGTCCTCGCCGAGAAAAACGAAGAATACGTCTGTAGCAGTAAATTTGAGACTGATGTTTTTTTGCAAGTTTTGTTGTCTTCATATTAAATAGATAATGCAGGCAGAACCACTTGTGCTCGGGTTAATCAAATTCCGATTTAATTCCGGTAAATCCACTGGCAAACTACCTGGCATGCTTGCAACACGTGGCGTCCCATAAATGATGCTTTGGAAATGCGCAAAATAAGGTGCTTGCTGCCACCATATCTTTAATATATATAACGGTAGTCAACATTCGTTGAGTCTTCAATAACTTTTGAATGGCTCAACAGAATCGCATGGTTTAAAGGTCAAAATATAGGCACTGAAAAAACGACGGTCATTTTGTTCGATAATTTTTCTGGAAAACCAGTTTAAAAGATGTTTTCGACAAAATGTTAAGATGAGAAACCAGAGAGAGTGTTAGGAGCATTTGAAGATGCTACTGCAAGAGAGAGTGAAAAAGATGAAGAGAGGAAACAGAGCGAGTTAGCCACTTAATCTTATTCTACCCGGTCGGATAGTGTTTGATGGATGTGCTGCACCCAGATCTTCCGTCCGTTTCCTTTGAAAAAATTTTCAGAGATGTAAGAAGGTTTTGTGCAAGCAAGGCACAAGATACAAACGAAGTACGAAAATGGATGAAGGATGAGAGGCAGAAAATTATGGAAGCATCATGATGACAGGCACAAATGAGACCAAATTAGTACATATATGGAGAATGCTGGGAAAGCGAACAAAGAAGACTAATATTCAAATGAAATGTAAATGGGCCTGAGCGGTGTTCAGCAGAATCTGCATGAAAAACATGGTATGTTGTTGAAAGTATGTGTCGAAACTGTCTGCGTTCAGTTTATTGTTTTGTTGTGCACGAAGTCAGGGAATGGGTAACAACCTCTTTTGTTTGATCGTATACAGCCTTTTATTTCGTTTGTCAATGTCTTGATGTCAGATTGTAATAGAATGGTGTAATTACGGGATTTCGATTTGATAAAGTGATAATGGCGCGCTATAAAAGGAAACTGCTGTCCACAATTTCTGCTAGGAAAAAGAAAGGGAAACGAAACGCCAAACAACGTTCAAAAACCATTGCGTTAAACGCTGTTCGTAAAACAGCACCCGTGGAGTTAGCAAATGAACCTTCAACATCTGCGGTAAAGGGACAAAAGCGAAAGGAAGGTGCAAATATGGAGTGCCGTAAGCGGAAGCGGGGAGAAGTAATTCTAAGCCGTAGATTTACCAAAAGTAAAGGTAGAAATATTGTAATCTTAAGTATTATCGCATACTCTAATCTTTACGAGTTAAGGGTACCGATTATTAGCAGCTACGGTGAGAAAAATTAGTAACAAATTTGTGGTGTGTATAATACCGGTGTGTGGGTATACTTTAGACTGCGTGAGTAAATTCATTTATAGTGTGCATAATGCTCGTATAACAAATGTGCCAAAGTAATGTGTAAGAAATGTAGCGTCTGTATATACTGTGTGGGTAAATGTGAATGTAGAAATGTGGTGTTTGTGTGTAAAGTTTAAATGAATTTTGTTACAGATTTATTGGGTCAAGTGTTCGAGATGCGACGCGCAGCGGCTAAACCTGGAAAAAGGAGGGTTATGTTGTGGAAGTGGTACGAAAAAGCCTCAGGTGGTTCTGGAAATGCCAGAATTACCGGTTGATTATAAAAAGATCCTAGAATCTAGCGGTGATTTAAGACGGAATTCGCGGGCATATAATAATTATTTTGCAATGTCTGCACTGGGCAGTACCGGTGGAATTGACAGACTGTTTGGTGCCGCAAATCTGGTTTTACATGGCCGTACCTACCATAGAATGCTGTCAGGACAATGTAATACGGGGCCACTTCGTTGGTTTCTTTTGGACAATACGCAGTTGTTTAAAGATCTGGAGCTGGATCAAAATGCGGTTTTTGCTCTACGACACATGCTGGAAACCAATAATCATCTTTTTCGACAGTTCAAATTACTGGCAGAATATCCCAGTGAATCGGCTAAACTCGAACTGAGCTACGGATCATCGCAGGAAATAGCTGCTGTGATTGTTCCGTTCTGTAACGAGCCACAACGACGCCGGACTGTAGTATGCTGGAAGAAGTCCGGTGAACCGGCATTTATTGACTGTCGCTCGGGACTATACGTCCCTTTGCAATATCCTTTATTGCTACCACTTGGCCGTCCATTTTATGATACTTCCTATAAAAGCGAAGATCCAAATAGTTCCATGCTGCGGTTTTACAGGCAGCATATACTGCGAAACGAAGCGATGCACGCACTTGGGGGAGTTTTCAACGAATTTTTAGTTGATGGTTTCAGCGCCGTTTTAGAAGAACGAATAGATTACATCAAGAAAAATCAAATGAAGATATGTGCTCGCGGGGTGTTGCCTAAAACGGACGAAAAGGGGAGCGGAAAAACATTCCTACCGCCAAGTTTTCTGGGTTCTAAGGCGCATCAACAACAGATGATTGCGGACGCACTAGCCATCGTTTCGCGTTATGGTAACCCGACATTCTTCGTTACCATTACCTGCAACCCGCGGTGGAACTTAATTGAAGAGCGACTGACCAGTGGCCAATCGGCAGCAGATCGACCCGATGTGACTGTTCAAGTGTTCAAAACAATTTTTCAGAAGTTTACGAATGAACTACCGAAGGTGCTCCATGGCAAGAAGGTGTATCGCGTGCACGTTATTGAATTCCAAAAGCGTGGTTAGTGCAAATGAAGTGAAGTTACCCGAGTTTACGTCGATTTAAAATATATGCAAGAATATTCTGCCGCACTAGCGATTTCCGTTATGGTCAACAACATACCATACAATTGAAAGTATGAAATGCTAAAACGCAACATCTAATGAAATTTTATAACAGGTTTACCACATGCTCATATTGCCATAAAAATCCATCCTGAACCAAAAACAGAGGCAGAAATTGATAACGTAATTAGCGCGGAACTGCCTGTTGAAGATCCTGAGCTGTTGCTTTTAGTAAAAGAGCATCATTTACACAACCATGTTCCTGAACGTTGTTATAAAACGGACTACGAGAAACGTTTCAAGAAGTAAGTTTCGTAAATTCGAATCTTTTTTAGCAGGCACTAATGGATGGTTTGTTTAGGTGTCACTACGGCTATCCTAAACCAGTCCTGATGAATACGGTAGTAGATGAATCTGACGGTTTTGTGCATTCCCGCAGGCGACATCCGGACGATGCTAACGTTGTGCCGTATAACCCGCACTTACTGAGAAAATATAAAGCGCACATCAACGTCGAACTGTCAGCGACAGTTGTACTTATAATGTACCTTTATAAGTACTTTTATAAGGGGTATGATTATGCAACGTTGAAACTGTATAAAGAAGACGAAATAGCGCAATATATTCATGGACGTTATCTCGCCGCATCTGAAGCCTGTTGGAGATTTTTTGAATATGAAATGACCCGACGCGAGCCAACAGTTAAGCGATTTCCGGTTCATTTACCTGATGGAAATATGGTTGTTTTTCGAGAAGGAGAGGAATCATCAATTCAAAACGCCTCTGAGCGGCTATCAGATCTGGAACGGTACGGTGAAAGTAACTTGGACCATTTATTTAGAATTGCCCTTGACTTCAAATGGTTATTTCATTTAAATTTTTTGTAGTTATTTTTCACGGCCCAATGACGAGCAGTTTGACTCTCTGAAGTATCTTGAGTATTATGAACGGTACGAAGTAACAAATCGTAAATTTCCTGCACGAGTGGCGCAACATCTGCGGTTTCGAGACCAATGCGGAGACAAATCACGGAATGTTTTTCAGTTGTTGAAACCTATCGTATGCCGAATGGATGTTAAACTGCTACGGCATGGGGAAGTGTGGTATCTTCGTCTATTACTACAACATAAAGCCGCCCGTTCTTTCGAGGAATTATTAACCGTTGACGACGTCAAGTCTTCATCTTTTGCGCAAGCTGCGCAGTTAATGGGACTTCTGGAAAATTCCAGCGAAGCCCACATCTGCATGGAGGAAGCAGCGAAGAGGTTATGTTCCCCTTACCAGCTTCGCACACTTTTTTGTTTGCTTACGAATGACGGTGCACCAGCATTAGAATTATTCGAAACACACAAAAACTACATGGCCAAAGATTTCCAGGTTTCACAAAAGCTTAGCGAAGAAGATGCTTTGGAAGTTTTGCTACACGAACTGTCAGAGCGCTTTGAAAGTTTTTGTAAATCATTAGAAGATTTCGGGCTGCCGGTTCCGAAGCGGAAGCTGAGTGAAATTACGAAAGAAACTATGCGGTTTGATGCCAAAACGTGTGCTGCTGAAGCAACAGAAAGTATTGAAAAACTGAATGATGAACAACGGGGATTTTTTGTTTCCGTTTTAACCAACGTCGAGAATGGTACAGGAGGAGCGTATTACTTGGATGGTGGACCGGGGCGCGGAAAATCCTTCCTTCTCAAAACTGTTGTCAATTACTTCCGAGGAATGAAGAAAATCGTATTGTGCTGTGCGAGCACAGGTTTTGTTGCGGTTATGTACGATGGAGGTCGCACTGCCCACAATTTGTTCAGACTGCCGGTTAAAGATGACCCATACGACCTTTCTCCAATTGAGTGTGATGTTCGGAATCATTCCCAGCGCGCAAGTTTATTGAAATCAGCAGATTTGATTATCTGGGACGAATTTATCATGATGCACCGACAAAATGTAGAGGCTGTAGATGCAATGCTACGACGAATACGCAATGAGCCTGAGAAAGTATTCGGTGGAATACTTTTTATCGGTGCTGGCGACTTCCGACAGATTCCGCCGATTATCCCTTTTGCAACTCGAGAAACAATTGTTCAAGCTAGCGTGAAATCGTCATTCCTTTGGAAACATTTTCTGAAGTATACCTTACGAATTCCAGTTCGTCAGCTTGCCGACGTCGAGTATGCTGAGTAAGTGTAACTTTACTAATTATAATAGTAGTATAATTACGCCAATATATTTCAAGCCGCAAACTTTGATATACACAGAACCAACTACAGTATACATATGTATAGATTTTGTGACCGCATCGGTAACGGAACAGAAAATGGCGAGGACGGACTGGTTATTCTGCGCAATATCAGTGTCACTACTGATGTCACACAATTTTTAAATTTTGTATTTCCCGACATGGAGCTTGGTCAACTAAGTGCCAAAGATAATGCAGTTTTGTCTGTTAAGAACTCCGATGTGGACCACTTTAATAGTTACCTTCTGCCGAAGTTAACAGGGGAAACGGTGCCGCTCTTTAGTAGTGATACTCTTGACGATAGTTGTGGAGCAAAAGGTAAGCCGGACGCTTTCAACTATTGTATTTTAAATATGAAACAGCGCGTGTTTGATCCACAGATATATTTCAAAATGACATGGATATTGATTTTTTCCATTCTTTGAATCGCCCGAACATTCCGCCTCACGAAATCAAGTTAAAAGCAGGATGCCACTGTTACATCGTTAGAAACATCTGTCCAGAAGATGGTCTCCTTAATAATACCCAGGTAGAAGTTGTCTCCATAAACAAATCATTAGTCCAAGTGAAGCTTTTGGATAATGAGAAAATCTTTTGGATTCCGCGGATAAGTTTTTCAATTGAACTAAAAAACAAAAAATTAAGAGTACTGCGTAAGCAGTTTCCTTTGCGACTGTGTTATGCTAAGACGATAAACCGCTCCCAAGGAGCGACATTAAGTAAAGGCGGTTTAGATCTGCGCAATCCTGTTTTTTTCCCACGGACAGCTAGCTGTTGCCTTGACGAGATTTAAAACACGTAGAGATTTTCTTATTTTAACTACCCAAGATAACATTTCAGATGAAGGTTTGCGGTAACGACCAATGTTGTTTACGAACAGCTTCTTGCTTGATCAAGACAAAAATTGTAGTACTCTTTCGAAGTTGAAATAAACCACAAACCGGTTGTGCAAATTTCTATCATAGTAAACGTTTCAGTATCCAACTGAATTAGCTGTTAATATAAAAAACGCTGGCCAAACGAAACTTAATGTTGCAACGCCTGAATGAAACCGCGAACTTATTTGTCTATAACTATCTATTCGTTTGTGTCGTACATTAGTAGCACTCATTAAATAAAATAGAAATTTGCCAATTGATAACAATGGTAAAAGGTAAGTAACTGTCTGGTCACGCATATTTATCTAATATTTATCTATTAAAGGCATTTACGGTCAAAGAGCAAAATCTCCCAAGATCAGCTCATGTAGTACTACGTCTGGTAAGTTTACAATACGCTCGCACCAGCATGACTGTATCAAACCATGTTTACGTTTACACCGACTCACCGACTCTCATGCTCAGATCAGTACGAAGTATAATACGGTACATGTACAATACTGCATAATTTTGAAGTTTACGGCCAGAAACTACCAACTAAATGATAAAACAGCAACTGACACATGCAGATAATCTCCATTTTTATTGAGGATTATAATCATTATAGTCAACAACCAACAACCTATGCTCGGGCATAGTGTTGGGCCGGCCCGGCCCAAGGCCGCGGCCCGAACGGCCCGGGCCGTGTTCGGCCCGGCCCTTTTGGGAGGGCCGCGCCGGGCCGCGGCCCTCGGCCCGGGGAGAAGGGCCGTGGCCCGGGCCGCGACCCGGGCCGTGGCCCGCTGTGGACGTTAAATATGGAAAAGGACGTAGAAAATCAAAAAATTTCATTGGTATTTATTGAAATTTAGTAGTTTTCGATGAGTTTTTCCTAATTTTCACAGCATCAAACGTTTCTAGGCGAAAATTCGGCTATTTTTCCGTTGACATACCCGCTGTAGCCGCTTGCATAATGACTTCCGGGAATGGAATATTACTGTGCTGCAAGACGGCCCGGGCCGCGGCCCGGGGACATGTCGGGCCGCGGCCCGGGGACATGTCGGGCCGCGGCCCGGGGACATGTCGGGCCGCAGCCCGGATCGGCCCGCGGCCCGGGCCGTGCAAACGACGGCCCGGCCCTCTTGCTCGGGCCGGGCCGCGCCGGGCCGGGCCGGGCCGGGCCGACCCAACACTACTCGGGCATTAAAATTATTAACAGCCTTTAAATTGTGCAGTTTTCGCAGATACATCTTCCATTTTCCTACTGCATTTGCCGTCCCTAAAGTAAAGGTAACAGAAATAGTAAGAACGCAATCGAAAATAGTGCGTATACACGCTTTATGCCGTAAAGTTGTTTAGATATTGATTTTCCGTGATCATAAGCCGCTGCGTGAATTTGGTGTTTTTTTGCAACGACATTTAAGCTGTATCTACCCTGCGCAACATTGGGTATCCGAATTCCAAGCGGAATCGTAATGATGTACAGATCCTGACCACACTACGGTAAATGAATGAAAATACTGGAAATCAACGATGCCAAACCGGCATTTCTTGCAGTCATTTCCTCCTCAAACGCCTTCACATTTTCCATGGTCTTTAATAAGGTGTAGATGTTCCCTTGGTGTACCGGTGAATCGGCTTCAAATAACTCCAGTTCATCAGCATAAAGCCCAACGCCCCCACTCCTGGTACATACCGTGACCACGCCCCGCCCGACCACGTCACAATGTACGCTGCATATGATCACATCCGCTGTCCAGGATGTCACAGTGTCGACGCAGTCCGCGCCACCAATAAAGTTGAATAAACACATGCTTCAGATCCGCTCGAGACTCTCCAAAATTCTATCCTACAGTCTTCACTGTTGTGACGGTGTTGATGGGATTCGCTTAGGCTGAATGCCGTAAACGAGAGGCGTGGTCGTTGACAAGTACGGTCGTGTTGACTTTGTCGCGCGTAACAAAGACGCGATGTCGACGTTCTGTTCAAAATCGGATAACAGACTGGAAAGACTTTTCCAGTCCGCTGACCTTTCTTCCGTCAAGAGGTTCGTAAAAGACGGTCGCATTCGCAGCGCATCGAATCCGATTTGTAAATGCAGGAGCGATTTTAACCCGCAGGGGATTGTTAAGGACCGAAGAATATGTCTGTGAGTAAGGTGAGTAGGAAGAATGAACTCTCGGCTGTCCACCACATCTTCGTCCTCTTCATTGTGGAATTGCAGGCACGAATGCAGACTGAATCGTTTATGCTCAGCGTAAAACACGGAACCGACCCGCATGCGCTTGGCCAATGGCACTTCGCGCCACTGCTGTACGTTGTCCAGGAAATCCACTTCCTGCATCGTGCAGTTGTGGACGGTCCATCGTCGTGTCCGCGGACGAACGGCGCGATTGTTCTCCACTTTGTGGAAATGCGGCAACTGCAGGGATCGGCGTGTGACCCTTGCACTAAATAGCAGCTCCCATTGCTTTTTGGTATTAATAACCGTTACATCCGGTAGTTTATCGGATGCGATGGTTGGTTTGAAGACAAAGGAAAATAAGGTTTTCCGATCGCGATGGGGTGAATAGGGAATTTCCTCGAACGCCACTTCATGGGAACCCAAAATTCCCAGCTCCATGTCCTTAATCTGGATGAATAATGGGATGAATAATGACTTCAACTTACAAAGTCCAGGACTGATTATAGACAGCATTTCCCGTTTCAGTAAAGTGTTCTAGGGTTCTCACAACCTGGTCGCCGATCGAAAAGATCACAATCGTACTGGAGCCATAATTTCCGTAACATTAAATAAATATAATTATCACGATATAAATAGGAATAAATAATTTAAAGTAAGGTAATAAAAAAGCTATCAGGTGTTACAGCTTTTATCACGCACTTACATCCGCACTAAAAAATAAAAATGCCAAAAAGCATTCGTCAAGACGCAGGTTAACACATGTTGAGCAGTAATGTTAATCCACCAGTCACATTTTGGCCAACTGTTGCATGTTTATAAAGCCTACTTTTATATACCGGATTTTAAGGTTGTTCAAAAGCAACTGTGACTTTTGGCCATTTTTGTCATTTCTAAAACTTATTTTGCAGATTCACTACTACCAATCTACTGTACACACGAGTAGATAGTTACAGACAAATAAGACTGCAATTCCACCCAATGGTTAAATTTGTATGATTTTTTAAACATTTACATTTATGCGATTATTTTGCCTAACTATTGTTAAGCAATAAGCGTGCATGGTCCACTACCTGCAATAATTCAACCTTTTCAAGCAGATTAATGATGTAGCATAACTCTATGCTAGCGCAATTGCAGCATAGATACTCATACCGGAAACACCCGGACACTGGCCATCAGACTAGCACTCGTATAGCGCCAATGCAAAATGAATATTTGTTCGTTACGAAAGGTCATTACGAAAATGTTCCTGGTTGGTACTTTTATATGACGGATTTTAAGGATGTTTAGGAGCAACTATGACCTTTAGCCATTTCTGTCATTTGTAGAACTTGATTCACTACCACCAATCTACTATACACACGAGTAGATAGTTACAGACAAATAACATTGCAATTCTACCCGGTAGGTAAATTTATATGATTTTTTAAACATTTAATTTTATCCGATAATTTTGTCCAACTACTGTTAACCAATAAGCGTGCATGGTCCACCACCTGCAATAATTCAACATTTTTAAGTAAATCATTGATACACCATAAATCTATATTAGCGCCACTACGGCAGTCACTCATACCAGAACAGTCGCACACTGGCCATCACACTAGCACTCGTATAGGGTCAATGCAAAAATGTATATCTGTTCGTTACGAAAGGTCATTACAAAAATGTTGCTTTGTTGGTTACGTTTTTACGTTAAAATTATTAATAATTTTAAATTTAAAGAGTGCTACTGGTTACAGGTTAAAAATTAATTATCATTCGCACAAACAAAGAGCTGCTCCGCTCTGGTCTGCCAATGCATGCCAACGTGGCTTTCTCCTAGTATACAATACACTATATGTAAGTGCATACAGAATTCGTACTGCGTAAATTTATTGTGTAGCAAATTGAAACCTTGCCTGTGTACAAAGCATTCGTGTGCACATTAGATTTGCTGCTTTTCTTGATTTTATAGCCTATTCCACCTTCAATAAGCCCATTCTTTTCCGTTGTGGTTGTTTTATTATGGCCCAGATGATCATACTGTATCGACTTCATACGAGTGCACTCTCCTTCTTTGTTATGTTCGGTAAATTCTTGGATCTTTTTGCAAACCAAACCCCGCCTGATGTCCGGTCAAGCCTCTAAGTAAATGATACCGCGATCTACAGGAGACCGGGTAGCTTCCCTCATGTCCATTTTTGTCTGGCCTGTTGCTTCATCTATTTATAGCAATCACATTGGCCAGAAAGATAGACATAAGACAAAGAAGTCAACGAAAGCTTTCCGTTAACATCATTGTTAAAAGGTCCACAAAGCACAGCCAGTACACGATATTATTTTCATTTTTGAGAGCACACCAACGATAAATCTCCAGAAGTGATGTTCAAAACCCGTTCAAATATGCAAAGCCCCGCGAAAAAACCTAAACCCTCTCCGTCAGAACCTACCAACACCAAACCGGCACCGTCGGCACCTGATCTAAAAGATGGCGGTGGAATTGATGTCGGTATCCTAAAAAACGGTCTCCCTGCAGAAGGAACAGCTTTGCAAGTTATTGTAAGTTTTATAGCTTTAACCGTAAAATTTGTTTTGTATTTCATGGTTATAAATGTACATTTTACATCGAGTTTCATAAAATCCCTTTTTCATAAAGTTCTGTTTATTTTCATTGTATAATTACCCCAACATTAATTTAGGCGCATACAGTGCCAAAAGGTCACAAACTTAGCAAACTTCTGGGTACCGGATATTTGTTCGAATTTGCTAATTTTTTGAAAAATAATTTTTTGCTACATTAAAATAATTTATTTTTACAATGTAGGCCCTGGAAGAGAATAACGCGTTCACGCTCTGGGATGGAGTACAATAACTGGTCGGAGTAAAAATCAAGCAGCTTCCATCCGGTTGCACAAATGAAAAACTGCTCTGGAGCGTTATTCGAATTAAAAAGCGCCGCACATACAGGTACAAGAATTTTAGTTACCCGTATGGTCGTTTGAGTGAGCCACTATGGTAAGTCAATGAGGGATGGTCGTATGAGTGGGCCACCTTAAATATTTTTTTCCCGAAACCGATTTTCTTCCGGTTTTCTTCTTTATCTGACCATGCAAGACTTACCCTTCACAGAGTACTTGAAATTTTAAAAAAAGGTTGAGCCGTTCTCTTGCAATTGCGACGTAAAAAAATCAGTGACGAAAGCGCTTTAGCCACGCCACCGAAGCCACTGCACTACACCAAGAAAAGTGTAGCCACTGCCACACATGTGCGGCTGTTGTGAACGACACATGTGCACAATGTCGTAACGCTTCAGTTCAACGTACAAAGGTCAATTTTGATGGCATATATTAAAATGAAGGCATAATTTTAAATAAAATCAAATAAATCTAAACCGAATTGCTCAGCAGCACAGCAGCACTACACTAAGAAAAATGCAGTCACGATCGCTGATGCGCTGCTGAGCAATTCAGTTTAGATTTATTTGATTTTATTTAAATTTATGCCTTTACTTCATCCAAATTGACCTTTGTAAGTTGAACTGAAGCGTTATGACATTGTGCACATGTGTCGTTCACAACAGCCGCACATGTGTGGCAGTGGCTACACTTTTCTTGGTGTAGTGCAGTGGCTTCGGTGGCGTGGCTAAAGCGCTTTCGTCACTGATTTTTTTACGTCGCAATTGCAAGAGAACGGCTCAACCTTTTTTTAAAATTTCAAGTACTCTGTGAAGGGTAAGTCTTGCATGGTCAGATAAAGAAGAAAACCGGAAGAAAATCGGTTTCGGGGAAAAAATATTTATGGTGGCCCACTCAAACGACCATCCTCATTGACTTACCATAGTGGCCCACTCAAACGACCATACGGGTAAATATAAAGCTTTGTCAGCCCAATAATCTCTTTAACTTAAATCGCAACTCCAACCAACCTCTTTACTTATGGCTCCTACCTAAATATCACCTACTCGTACGGTCGTTCGGTTGGCCCCCTATAGTAAGTAAATCGGCACTGGTCCTTCAAAGTAGACTGGCCACAATTTATTATAAATTCCACAGAATCATTTTCTTCCGGTTTTCGTCTTTACGCAAATCAGCATCACGTACTCTATATATTCAAATTTACTGCACTGCACAATGATTAATGCAGTCACCGCAGACATATGCGGCTTCGCTCTGTAAATAACAGATGCGCACAGCGAAATAGCGTGGCATGGTTTAATTGTTTCGTCACTGTTTTTTAACATCGCAATTGCATGAAAACGGTTCAACATTTTTAAGAATTTAAAATACTATGTATAGATTACATATCTGATTTGCATAAGGCAGAAAACCCGAAAGAAATCGGTTTGTGTTTTGCAAAATTTTTTAGCACTAAAGTCCATATCACTGAACTGATCATCGTCGCCACTCCGGAAGCTTCCCAGTTCAAAAAAATCCAAGGTTTGGCCGACATCCATACCACCGGAAACGATTTCGCAACCAATTCCACATCTGATCCAACAGCTGACGCTTTAACTGAACTCAAAAAACTCAAGGAAGGAGCTGTAAAGTGTGTTTTTTAAATGAAAAGCTAAAATTACTGCTACTTAATAAACATATGCTATGTCTTCGTTTAATTATTTCAGCAAATTGCGGCTCATTGTGTCTCACAACTTCGGCAGAAAATTTGCGCAGAAAGATGGAAAACCATACCATAAGATCCTCGTCACTGATGGCTGTGAATCAGCAACGGTCATGCTGTTCGAAAAAGAATGCGAAAGATTCAAAGACATTCCTCCATGTGCTAATGGCGAGGCAAGTGTCTCAAGCGAATTAATCTAACTATATGTCACACATAACACACAAATGTACTACAGTAGTTTAGCCACTTCCTCTTATTCTTGCATTTATATTTAGTTTCTTAAAATTGCTCTCTCTCTCGCTTAAGATTGTTATTATCTCCAACGGATCCGCAACAAAAAACGCCCAATACAAAGCCGGGGCAACCACAGATTGGCAAATTTTGCTAAAATCTACCATCAGCAGCATTGAATTCACCGGCCATACTTTCCCGAAAAACGTTCAACTTGGTCAGCTCAAAGACATCCGCGCGATTATCAAACCGGAAGAGCAAAGTAAAACAACGTTTTCGGATAACTGTATTTTACATTGAAAATCATATCCCGTTTTTTAAATTTTGTACTTACCAGATACTTATAGCAATTAAATATTAAACACTTCTCATAATATCAGTTATTTATAATAAATATTTTCAAAAATCACTAAATATTTCACTTAAATTATTTTAGCATTCTTCGGTCTCGTCGAGGAAATTGACAAAGTGGACAAAACAGAGAGCAAAGCGGAGCGCCTCATTTACCTTCGGGATATGGATGCCGATGAAAAGATAAGCCTCAAAGTTATGGGCGACCTGGTGCGACAGTGTTTCTTCAGTTGCTAAACTTCTACTCTCATACAGTGGCAACTTTTGCAAAACATTCTAATTTTTATAGGCATGGTGCCTTACGAAAGACCGATACCAAAACCGTGTGCTGGCGTTTCGTGGACTTACCATTCTAAACCAAACGATGCTCGTGACCAAACCAGATCACACAGTTTTTTATCCAACTGACCATCCGTCCGCAAAAGACATCGAAGCGTCTTTTTCCGAATTTTTTTAGTACTTTGCATCTTTTACATAACAACTTTCCGAAATGTTTCTCTAATCATCCATCTTACTGCTTTACTCTTTTCATTATATTAGGTTAACACTAATTTTTCATTTTTCCAGTTATACCAACGTATACTGCATGATCAGTACATGTACTTACCTTATATTTTTATGTCATCAAGAACAAAACTTCAAATTATCAAACCAACTGCTCGTTGGATTTACCATGCTATTTGCCTGAACGTATTTACCAATATGTACCCTGTGCTAGCAATCTTACATTTTGCAAGCAGTTTTAAACATTAATAAAAACGCGAAAAGCTAAAACAAAGTGTGTTCATACCGCATGCAATATTATAAACTTATAGAAGTGACCCGGTACATCCCACCAAATTCGTGCACTTAACTCTACTTTACTTACTTTACTTTACTTTACTTACTTTACTTTACTTTACTTACTTTTTTTTAGTACAGTACTTATGCAAAACATCGTGTACAAATAATCCATCATACAGTGTACTAAATACATTTACGTATTACCGATGTCGCAGCCCATCTCACACGAGCCGGTACTCAGTTTTAATGTCTCCAGCAAAAAAAGTACTCCGGGCGTATAGTAGTATTACTGGTGTTTTACGGGTTGCAATGGTCAGTACAATTACTAAACCGCCAGCCAGCTCATGGACTGACCACCGCTAACGGTAACTAATTCTTATTTTCTATTCCATATCAACAGTTATTTCTCCATCACAATTATGTTAGTTTATAAGTTCTAGTTTCCGAGTATGAGCGAAGAAGCATCAACCCTCAGATTCTAAAAATCTAAAAGAATATGAAATTAATAGACAGCAGACGATGTAAAGTGTACCTGTACAGTCTTGCAGTAACATTGGTAATGACTGCGGTCTGTCTTCATGTGAGCCAGAAAGGAACAGTAACTAGTGAACAAAGCTCACCATGGACTTCAGTTCCGGTAAATTTGCATCTATGTACTCCATCAAAACAGTCGCTATGATAAAATTCAACTTACTGCTCCAGCCGTGTTCTCCTGTGTTTATACAATGTACAAGTACAGTCTTTGGCTCACTGCGAAATTTTAAATGATACATCAGGAATTGCGAACAAATCATAACGAGTGTTTTGTTGGACAGCCGAAATGCAACCACCCTAAACCTTAAGACTACAATTAAAAACACAGAAAAATAAGCGGACCAGGTCAGCGGTTTAGACAACGAGCTACTGATCTGTGAAAGCCCAAAAATTAATATTAAACAAATCTAGAATCACTAATTGTGTAAAACGGCCGGTATAAAATTTGTTTTCGAGCAACCACATGTCAGAAACCAATTCGGATAATCAGAAAAATATGCTCGGAACGAATCAAAACACATAGTCTGCAGAGAACATTCTCCTCAACGTCCAAACGCATCTCGATTGCATTCTCGCGAACGCCAGTCACCCATATACGGCACCACAGTTTGAGCAACGGCGGGTCGGTATACAGCATCGAGCACCCCAACACGGCACGCTGGACATCCACCAATAATAACAATTTCCCGCTGCGCCACCGATCCAGCTGCGCCATATCCTTCATCTTCACTGTTCACGTACCAACTGGGAAACCAGATTGAAAACCTGCCGCAAAAAAATTCATTTTACTATTCAAAGCGCCTAGCCTTCATCAATGAGCGTCGCTGCTGAAAAAAATGCATTTTTCCTTATAACCGTTTGCTCACGATATACAGCAAGCTCATTATTACTGTTAATTGTCAAACTAAAGGATCAACGACTACTACTTTATTTGCAGTTTCGCAATAACTCATCGCAACATGTCAGATAAGGCATTACCTAGTGTTACATAATTTATGGCAGAGCGAAATAAACGGAAAAGGTCACGGCGGTGTAAGACCGGCCGGTTTCGTAGTCTAATATGTGGTGTTTACGGAAATATGCATAAACGGCAACGAACGAGACGGCAATTGCGAGTCAGGAATTGTTATTGAAGGAAATTAGGCTGCACGGCTGTGACTGTCGTAGAAAAGCGCAAAAACATCGGTATAAAAGAGCAACAAGTGGAACGGTATATCAGATAACGGCATGTACGGGCATATCGCCCTTAACAATCAGAAAGCGCATTTCATGAGAATCGTCACATACTAAGTGATTCAGGCATTGGGCAAGGGAAAAGTAGCGAGCCGAGCATCAGGACAAAGTACATGTAAAACTTCTCTCCATGAAAAAAGGACTGTCCGCAGTCCATAACTAATATAAAAAAAGCAGAAAAGCCAGTCAACCAGCAGTACGATAAAGCAGCTGTTTTTGCATTTTAAAATTTTCGAAACACATTCATGAAATAGCAAATAATAATATGCAAGTAATAGTTATACTTTATACGGTTAGAAGAAATACAGGTAATATAGCGGAATAATCTGAATTTTATTTTTTGGAACGCTTTTAGGAAAACCGGATTGAACCGAATTTTCATTTTATAAATGTTTTGGATTTTAAATTCTCTGACTCATTTTATAATAAATGCGGTTCAGTCGATGATATCTTTCGATCGCTCTTGAACTTGAACTTTGATCAGCGGTTAACCGTACACCAAAACCATAACACCACACCGTATTTACGCAAATAAACAGACATTTCATTTCCTGAGGCAAAATCGACACAGTACAATTTATAAATATTAAGTCGCTGGTTTCAAACATTATTCATTCGCTTGTCTAAACACACGCCTCTTTTTCCCTTTTTTTTTAATGCAGCTTTAGTGCATTCAGTCTACGATGCTAAACTCGTGTCTGGCTGGTAAAAATTTTTTTTCGTCTGCTGCAGTCGAGTCGCGCGTGTGCGATCTCGTACGAAATTCTGTTCTGTTTTTTTTTCTCAGCAATTTTCAATGCTGTTGCTGACGGGTTTTGGTCAGAGGCATTACAGCAAAAATTTTTTTTGCTGTTGCGGACAAGTTTTCTGCAGAGATTTCACAGCAGATGGTATTGCTGTTTCAGACAGGTTTTTGTACATCGATTCTAGACTGCGTTAGTTGAGGTAATTTCGAAGCATGTGAGCGATTCTTCATTCGCGTAGACACTGTGCAAACAAACTGCTGCACCAGCTTATCCGTTAACTATATTTTTTTTTAAATTCCAATATCTAATTTTGCCCCAGAAAATTTCGATCACAGTCTATTCACACAAACACCATGCGCTACCCATGGTTGTAATGCAGGTCGTTTAATCTGATCACGCACTGTTCGTTGTGAGGCGGTAATGACTGATAAAAATCGGCGACCTAAAGCTTCGGGTAGCGAACCGTATATAACTGGGTTCGCTGGAGCGAACCTTAAAATTACTGGGTTCCCGGGGATAGAAACGGGTTTATCTCCAAGAACTTTTTTTTTTGAAATTCAAACGAAAATTTGACAATTCTCGAAGGAAATTTCCTGACCAATATTTTTGATAAATTTTCCACAAAAAATAAAGCGATGCTTTTTACTGAAAAATTTAGGTAAAACCTGACCATGTTAAATTTGACGAAATACAAGCGAGAACCTGACTTGATTTGAATTGTCTTAGCAAAATATAAAAACAAAAATCGCATAAAATACAATATTTTTGAAATTTTGCAATAGAAATTTTTTAAGAAATTTTAATTAATTTGCTGGCTGACTTTACATGAGCGGGAAAATAAGGCTAATGCTAAGCGGTTATACGCTGCTCACGGTCGGTGGAGTTCCGTACCGAACCGGTGCCAACTTCCGGCGCTGTTCCATCAACGCATTCCCAAAGGTCACCGTCGGTTCCATCCGTGTTCCGACCGTGTGCTCCGGGGAGGGAGTCCTGGCGCCGATTGTTGATCCATCCGAGTCCTCAGCGGTCGTACACGCATTGGCGTAGACGGGATCCTGTCGGACGGTGTCCAAAGGACGGTAACGCGGCGTCATGGGAATATCCACCGTCCGTGTGGGTACGTCCCGGGACGGGTTCCGATTGGGGGTTTCCGTAGCGGTCGCAGTGAGCGCAATCGTTCCCTGCCGTCGAGGCTGAAAATCATACTGCCGGCGCGAACGCGGGCGGCAACAATCTAGAAGACAGCTGAGAAACGCGATTACCGTTCGGTAATACCGAACGCAAAATACCACAGCAATGAAAACGGTTATCGAAGTAAGCGAAATATTTAAGAGACTATGCCATGTCATGGACTTCATTGTACTTTGAACATATTTTGGAGTAATTATGGTACTCAAATTTGAAATACCGGTCTCCAACATCAGGCCGGATAACTCGGCTGTTAAGTCGAGAAACCGAAAAGGATCCATTGACAAGGAGTCACCGAGAGTGTCTTCCAAGTTATCCGTCAGGAATTTGGCAGTATAATGCCAATGTGCAAGCGTTTTATGGAACGTAGGGTTTACAGGAGTCCAGGCACCGTCTTGGTAGCGGTAGAGAGTTCCGTGTATAATTACCACGGAGTGCCGATGGAGGCAAACTGAGTGCCTTTTGAGGGTCTCGCCGTCGAGGGCGATCGTGTATCCGCGATCGTCGTTTTCGGCCGCGATGTACGGATCTGGTCCGCATGTAGAGTACTTGACTCCGATGGTAACATTGACTTCCGTGCACTGGTAGATAGTCGCCGAATCTCCAAGAACTACGGCAGCCTGACATTTGGGAAAACCTAGTTTGCCTCCGACGACCACAGGGAAAACTGGCTAAGTAGAATCAGACTTTCCATTTCCGTTCTGTCGGCCTGGCATTGCAACTTGTGCAGGTGATTGAGGATTTTCATTTCTTGAAACGCGAAGAAATCCTCAACGTACTGAAGGTGGGACGATAGTAAGGTGGTAATTTCTGCCGAAAGATTTGCATTCAACCGACTTTGGATGCCAACAGGGGGGACGAGCCGGAGGGCGGATTCTCTCAGTGACGTTAGGACGATACCAAGCGTGGTAAAATTTTATGCGAAGTGTCGGATGGGAGCGGACATAATGAACAGATGCGCCTTCATCGCATGTTCGTTCCATTTTTTCTTCAACCGTAAAGCTGAGTTGATGTAAATGGTCCCGAATGTGGATCTCTCCTGATTTTAATTGGAACAACTGCCCCCTCGCTGTCAAGAACCGTGTTAGCACGACACTTCGTATGGTTTTTGTCGGTAGTCCACACGTAAGTTACGTGTGGATGGACACTGGACTCGGAGAGAATAGACGAAGAAATTTCGCCAGTGGCGGACAGTACTGGACAGTCGTCACACGTGGTTTCGAGGGTCACGTTCTCTAAGAGACAGGTAATGACGTCGGCCCGGCGGTATTGGTTCCACCGGCGGTCAACCACAGGCATTGCGTCGTATACCCAAGTACGTCCACTTTTGGTCATGGCGTTTCTACTGCATGTCTTTGTTCTGACCATGTCACGGCACTGATCAGCGGTTACCGGGAGTGCGACCTCAAAATTCTGGCTGTTATAGCCGCCGAAGAAAAAACCTTCTTGTATCGTGGTTTTCATAACCATCCGACAAGCGGAGCCGGAGAAAACTCGAGTAATGTTCTTATAGTCGAGAAGATAGTACTTCACGTCATGAGTTTCTCTGATGGGGCCGTCTAACTGCTCGCACCGGATTCGCGCAGAAAGGTCAGCGATTCCCACGTATTTACTCCGTGAGCAGTCGCATAGCGTAGTGTTCAGTCCGGAAGTACCCGACAAGGTACAGAGTAAAGAAGGACGGAAAGTGTCACAAAGCTGGGTAGACCAGCGCGCATGCGTTTTGCAGGAACTGGAGGCGGCGGTGCCTCGTTTTCTGGTCCTGAGTCATCGCTCGTAAGACCTTCCCGATTTCCTGGTTTAGCCGGAGCGTATGCGGGGTTGTGAACCGTAAGTCCCTTTCTCGATGGTTCTTCGTCCAAATTCACAGTTACGGTAGATTCCGCGTCGGAATCAGAATATGCTTCCAGAGGAGGTGGACTGTCAGAGTCCTTCCTCGCAGTAGAAGCGTTTTCCGTCATCGGAAACAAATGTGCGCAATGAGGACATATGTCGCTGACAGCGCATTCTGCGTGATATTTGTGGCCGCGAATACACTCCATCATCGGCGGAGTGCATTCTACCAATACCACTTCCGTACCGCAAACGCACATTCGGTGGCGGTAGACGGCTATGAGACATTGGGTACAAAGGAAGACGGGACGACCTTTCTGGTACAGGACGCGGGCATCTGTTGGTTTATTACACCTTCCGTTATTTTTCCGCGTTTCACAAAGACGAATGTTAAAAACGTCTGTCGTTCTAGATGAAATAACCATTGCGTCTTCTCGATCCCTGTTAAGGAGTACGAAGTCCTGACCGATCGCCCGGAGGGCATTGTTCGTAAAGCATTTGCAGTCAAAACTGATATCCGTATCATGGTACGCGACATGACAGGCGTGCTCCCTGGACGAAGTCGGAAAAATGCCAACATTAGGAGAGCTATGGATTGGTAAAAACGGCATCAATGCTTTAAAAGCTATTGCCCTGGATTCATCATTGTGGGGGATCAATGTTAGAAACTGATATATCAGCGGATGGTAGTGAAAATTTCGGCGATAGGTTTCGTAAGTGTCGGCAACTTCACCAAGGTTTTGCCGTAAAAGCCATGCCCAGAGCCTTTTTGTCAGTGGCGCAGAATCAGGATGCGTTGTTTTGGCATAGCGGAGTACTACACAGACCTGATCAGTTGGGTCTGCGTAAGAATTTTCCTCAACGATAAAAAACGAATGCGCAAAATCGTGAGCTATTCTGTTATTGAAATCCCGTTGCGCGTGCTCATAAGAGATTTGACCGGGAGGATACCCAAGATGTCGATGGTAAATTCTGGTCGTACTACACTGATCACAATGGTTGGGTTCTTGTGTACGGTGCCCTGCCTGACAAGTTTTAACGGTCAAATCGTTAGGATGCTGAAAGTAGCCGTCGGTAAACAACTCGTGGTTGGTGGCTTTATAAAAGCATTCCAGACAGAAGAAGTCTGGAACAAGCTTATTATATAAATAAAGACCGTAACGTTGAGCCCGATTGCTACACCTCACGATCGGTGCATTGAGCTCGGAGTAATTAATGGTCTGGGCATCGCACCGGCCCGGGTCAGTGTTACACTGAAAGGTCAACGAAGGCGTCGTCATATCAAGTTGTGTCGTTGCGCATCTGCATGCGAAAGGTGCAGGAAAACCGCGTGTTAATCCGTAATTTCCTACGGCTAGCTTAGCCAAGTACAGCGAGGGAAAGAACGGCTTGAGCGGTATATCTGTATCAATTTTGGAAAGGGCACTTATGCAACTTGTAAATTCCGCAAGACGAAGATCGTCAAGAAAAGTTTTGTTTACGGTTGTTATACGCTCGATTTCATTGGAATCCAGAAATGGTTCAAGATAACGTTTTAACACCTCCAATCGGGCGAACGAAACCGCGCGTGCACTAGGTACTTCCGAAATTACAGTTGTCAAAACTGTTTGACGATTGGCAAGAGGGTGAAGCTCATTAGCAACACTCACGTGACAGAAATGGTCAAGTACGTACCGGTTGCCCAAAGTCGATGGGTTCAGACCGGTGTACCTGTAAACTGGTGCCTGACGGCCGTTGGGATCAACGCCCTACAACAAAAGAGAGAGAAAGTATTAATTTTAGATAAATTAAAATACCAAAGCTGTCATATGAAAATAAACTACTTGTTTCTTTTTATTTTTTAAATTTTATTATCTTTTTATTTAATTTTAACCGATGATACATGAAAGAATAAAATATGAATGCTTATTTTTCTCTCTTTTGTTTTAGGCGGTCCGAACGTCGAACCGTCTCCGTTCCGTTAGTTCCGGTTATCGGAACGTCAGGTGGGTTGTGGACACTGGATCGTTTGTTTCTCGACCCTGTTCGAGATCAACGTTATCCAAGTCTCTTTTCCCCTTTTTAAGTGGTTCGGCCAGAACCGACTCAACGTACGGTGTGTCCAAGCGCTCGCTATAGTGGCGCAAACGCTGTACATGGACAACCTGAGTCTTCGGCCGACCACGAAGAGATTCAATTTCGTAATTAACTTCGGACACTTGAGAGACGATCCTCCAAGGCCCGTGCCAACGAATTAGAAATTTTGGAGATAGGTTATTTTCAGGAGAAACAATTTCTTTTGGCGGTCCTTTTAAAAGGACCAGATTGCCAGGTGCAAAGGCGTGTTCACGACGGGTAACATTAAAGCGCGGAGCCGTCTTATCTTGCGCGTGATTCGCCATGAGGCCGGCAACCTCGCGTAAGCTACTTAGGTACGTCTGAATTTGACTTGGAAGCGTTTCATCAGGCTCTTCGAAACCAAGGTTTTCGCCAGGATTGATAATATTATCGATTGGATGAGTCGGGTTATACCCGTGCAACAATTCAAATGGAGAGACCTTAACCGTGTCGTTCACCATTGTATTCAAAGCAAAAGTTATCGGTATCACAAGGTCATCCCAATTTCTATGTGTCGGAGACACGTAGTGCGCAATCGCTTTAACGAGAACACCATTTATCCTTTCGGTGGCCTTAGGGTTGTATGCCGTAGTCGTACGATGAGTAATGCGCGCTAGGCGCAACAAATGTTGCAAGAGACTTCCGGTGAAATGAGTCCCGAGATCCGTAAGGATCGACCTTGGGCACCCATGTCTGGAAATAACTTGCTCGTACAAAAAGTGTGCCGCGTTGGCGGCAGTTGCAGCTTTCACGGGTCGCGCTTCGATCCACTTTGTCAAGTGATCGACGGCAACAATTATGTACCGGTTCCTTTACTGCTCGGTGGGAATGGACCAACGTAGTCCATACCCACACATCGAAAGGTTGACCGATTTTGATACGTTGCAGAAAACCATATGGTGGTTTTAGCGGTGGTTTCAGTACCTGACAGGAATGGCACGAAGAAATGTATTCCGCAACATCGTGGGCCATGTTCGGCCAGTAATATTTGAGATACAGAGCTTGAAGCACCGGGTGATCCCAGGATGACCGAGATCATCGTGATACGCCCTTAAGAGAGTGACCTTTAGTGAACTAGGCACCACAATGAGATATACCGGATCGTTGCCGCGAAATACGATTTTATACAAAATTTTCTCCTTTACGACGTAGTGCTGAATTCGCGTTCGAAATTTCGCGGTGTCGGTGGCACCGTTCAGGATTCCCAAAATCTTTTTACAGAATTCGTCAGTTCCCTGTAGAGCAGGGATGTCGACCGTTGAATCTGGTACGACTAGGGCGCAAATCTGCGGTAACGGTGGTGGTAAAGGTGATCGTGAGAGAAAGTCGGCTACGTTATTGGCACTTCCTTTTCGGTACTGGATCCTTATGTTGTATGGGCGCAAAGCCAGGATCCAACGAGCGAGACGACCACTCGGGGTCGGCGTTTTAAACAAAGGAATTAAGGAGTTATGGTCCGTCACTACGGTGAACGGTTTCGGACCTCCGAGGTAAAATGGAATTTGTCAGTAACCGACCAGAAAATAGCGAGGAGCTCCTGCTCGGACGTATGATAGTTCTTCTCTGCATCGGTTAACGAACGACTTGCGTAGGCAACAACTTTGAAACCATCAGCTTCGCGCTGTGTCAGAACGGCGCCCAGTCCATCGAGACTGGCATCCGTTTCCAGGACGTGCTCCTTTTCATTGTCAAAGTGGGTGAGGATTGGTTTTGTAATTAATGAGTTTTTTATATCGTCAAAGCGCGCTGCGACGCAGCAGACCAATGAAACGTTGTGTTTTTTCTTGTTAACTCGAGAAGCGGGGCGGCAATGCGCGAAAAATTTTGATGAATCGCCGATAATGGCTAGCAGCGCCCAAGAATCCCTTAACGTCCCGGATACATGCAGGTACCGGACGAGCTAGATAGCCTGAACGTTTTCGGATCTGGGGCAATGCCCTGGGAATTTACCATATGACCTAAGAACTTTAGTTCCTTCTTCCCAAAGAAGCATTTGCCTGGTTTGATTTTCAGTCCGGCTTCTCGAAGCCGTTGCAAAACGATTTGAAGGTTTACTAAAAGATTTTGCCACGAGTCCGCATAAATTTCAACATCATCAAGATACAGTATTAAAATCTTTCCTTTGAGATCGCCCAGGACGCGATCCATCATGCGACTGAAAGTCGCAGGAGCCGTACGCAATCCAAAGGGCATTACTTCAATTGGAAAACGCCGTCCGGCGTTCGGAAACAAGTAAGACTCTTGGATGAGTCATCCATCCTGATTTGCCAGTAGCCACTAGCCAAATCAAGGCTAGTAAAGTAACATGAATTTTTAAGACTGTCCAAACAGTCGTCGATTCTGTAATGGGTAGGGATCAAAAATAGTGTCCTCATTCAAAAGCTTGTATGAAACACAAAATCTTAAAGACTCATCTCTTTCGTGCCAGTACCACATTGGCACATCGTTCTGAAATTTCGCATGGGCTGATCACGCCCTTTCGCAACATATCTTGGATCTGTCGAGTGATCTCGACTTTTGCCATTCCGCGAAACGCCGAAGCGGTTCCACGACTGGATTCGCTTCCGGTTTCAGAAAAATTCTGTGTGTCAACACGTTACAGGTACCGAGGCCTGATCGTCGGTCGAAAGACCTCAGTAAAATCCATGAGCAAACGTACTAGTTCGTTCCGTTGTTCGACCGAAAGGTCACCATAATTCAAATTTTGAAAATTAATGTCTGAAACTTTTGCCGCAATTGTGGTAGGACCAAAAGGTCATCAATGTCATCTGTGATTTGAATTATTCTTCATAAAACGCTTGAGGTTTTCCGGCAGTAACTCTTCCAACGCGACTGCACTATTCTGAATCTCTTGGTCCGGAACCTCGAGGGTTCGCGTTTCTGTAACAGCTCTATTGGCATCCCTGATCCCGAAATTCTCTGTAACGGGTTCCTGATGCTTAGGATTGTTTTCTCTTCGACCTCAAGGTTAATTAGTTCCTGATTACCCGCGACCTCAGTGGCAGGTTCCTGGTCTCCGGACTCGAAACCTCCGACCTCTAACTTGAATTCTTTCTGAATGCCAGTGACCTCGGTGACCGGTTCTTGGTCTCCGGATCGAAATCCCCGACCTCAACCTGACCTTTTCAAACTTTTTGTTCTCGTTGCGCTTCAGCAACCCAAAATTGAAAAACTTTTCACGATCGGCTAATGCCCTTATCATACTATCTTGTCTCCTTTCCTTCCCATCTTGGGAGGAACCTGCGTCCAACAACTGTAACCCTCGGGGCCTGCGGGTTCTGTACCATCAGTGTCTGTTTTCCCGGAAACTGTTCCGCCAGCAGAACAGCTTGGGAAACTAAGTTCGTAGATGCGGCCAAACCTGGGCTCGCCTTCTTTCTGAGCTCGCCCGAAATACATTTCTCAGACGGATTCTCCGTTAGTATTTCTACGGCAACTCGTTTGCCTGTCTTCGACCATCTCGTGGGTCGGATGGACCGTGTAGAAGGTAAATGGGATTAAAAAACCGGCTTCCCATTCCTTCATCCTGACCATTATCCGGGTTTGCAAGGCCGGAAACAGTAATAAAGCAAGGGCAAGACTACAGAATCATTACGCAGTGCTTTAGAATGAAAATCAATTTGAATCCGTGTTTGATTAAGGTAATCAATTCCGATTATTACCTCAAAGGGTGCTTGGGTTATAACAAATAATTCACATGGTTGTACTTGGCCCAAAACTTCAAGATAGACATCAATCTTTTTATTTAATTTACGTTGTGATGTTATTGTGGTGACGTATGGGCCATCAGTATCAATTATTTCCAAACCATTAAGTTTCGCAAAACCTTCCGTAATTAATGAAATCCCTGAGCCGGTATCGAGTATCGCCCGGCATGATATATTATTCACACGAGCCCGACAGATAATTGGACCTACTTCACTATTTTTATATGGGTTTATGATGAAATGGTCTGTGCGTGCGTCGGTACCACGCACAGACCCATTCAGTTTAAAGAGGCAGGATCGTCCATCGGGAGCTGTTCCCATGAATCCGCCTGAAGGTTACTGTGATAGAAAACTCGTGTCGGATTTGCAGCTGTACCGGCTGCCGGAAAAACTGGCGGGAGCTGTGGTCGAGCGGGTTGCTGACCACCTGTAATCATAGGGACAGGTTGGGCTGGACCCATAGCGGGATATGCATTAGGTGGGGGTGGCGGTCCGTAAGAACCGCGAGCTACTGCGTTGGCGTAGGTGCTTCGACCTCGACCGCGACCGGTCGATCCTCGGTAATTCCGACTTTGTGGGTTTTGCCAGCAGACGCCCTTAAGATGGCCTGCTTTCCCACAGTAATGACATTTACGAGACTCGCGCTGCCGGGTATCGCGGCGTTGACCACCGGCTTCCAACTAGCTAAGCCTAGCGCGAATAGGTTCCATTTCAGCTGGATCAGGCACCGCAACATCGACTCGTACGGCTTTTGCCTGCGTATCGGTTGGGGCGAAAGTTTCCGTAGGACTGTGTCGTCCGTTTAACCGTTTCGGTTTCAACCCGAGGCGGTCGGCGTGAAGGTCCCGCACCAGCTTCAGGAAAGGCTAAACGTTGCCTATATTTATAGGCGCGCGATATATTCAGTCGCTCGAGAAAATCTGTGGTATCCTCGATCTCGTCATAAACGGAAACGATTTCTGCTTTTAAGCCATCAGGCAAACCTTGGAAAAGGTGTAATATCAAATCATCAGGGAAGCGTTAGGATTACGCGTCGTCACAATACGCGTAATTCGCGTGACATACGCGAGAGGGTCATCAGTTGAAAGCATTTTCAAACTGGTGCCTTCGAGGTCAAAGTCGATGGATTTTTCCCAAAGGTCTCTTTAAGAGCCTTCTTCAAATCATCCCAGCTATTGTCATCGGGACGATTGACAAACCAATGGAGGGCGTCGCCCTGAGACAAGCTCGAAGACAGCTAAGTAACTGTCCTGACTTCCACCCGTAAAGGGTTCCCTGTGACTCATATTCAAGAATAAAATTATCGACATCCTCAAGAAAGTCCCCGTGAATTTCGGCATGTCCCGAATATTAGGGGCCCGAAGCTGAAAACCTTTTTCTGCTGGCTGATTATCGTCATCAGCGTCGCCTGGCGCCATGGCCTTTGCTGACTTTTATTTGCTCTACGAGGTTTCCGGTTTTGTTTACGTAGTATCGAAAGGCGACCTTTCAGTTCGGTCCAGCTTAAATTTTGATTCACAGCGGACCGGAGAAGGTACCCTGTGGGCGAAGGCGATAGGGATTCAATTCTCTGGTCAAAAGGTATTGCCGAATGAACACTCAGATCAGGTGATTCATAGAAAGCTGTGTTGTGTAGATCTGCTTGATCAACCGTGTGGGGGTCGGAGTCCGAAGACGACTCTACGACGTTCCCAGGAAGGGTTGGCTCTGGCTTCTTGTTTCGATGCTTGAGCCAAAATTTATCAACCGTGGAATGGGAGCTATACCCGAATCCAGGTTAAATCAATCTTATTAACACACAATTTCAAACGACGGGTAGGGCCATGACACAAAAAAGTAGTAGAAAACAGGAAATGGGTTTGGTACCACGATTGTTCAAGAAGAAATTATCGGACCGATCGCTGAATACAGAATTGGTAAAAACAGGCGCAGCTGACTTATCAGTTTTTGTCATCCGGCTGCGCACAACAACAGCCAACAATCTTGGTAAGAATCTTTACCAGAAAAACATAACGGGATGATTCATCCCGAGGTAACGATTCTCTTATTTTAATATAGAACGGGTCACGTTTTGGAAAAATAAAGTTCATCTGATAACATACATGTTGAATGCTATGTGCAGCATAATATTTATGCTGTTTAAATGGATACGTACAAAAATAAAACGTAGCTCTATAGAGCATAACCGGAAAATATGAATATTATTTGCAAGAAGAAGACAAAAATAATAAAATGAAATCCAGAAAACTGTAAATAAATTTCCGAATGATGAAACCACATCAAAAAGAAAAGAGAATCTTACAATCGATGCGGATTTTGTCGATGCGCATTAACCAACAACGTGTTACAGCAGGGACACACGGTTTCTGTTATATACTGGAAAACATAAAGGTCACTCAGGTTTTGTCGAGGCGCAACTAAATGTGCTCTCCTGGACTCAAGGACAATACAATGGACAAACAAAACTTTTGCATCATTGCTGAAAATGGTAGTACAAAAATCTGCGAATTCATCAACATCATCACTTTCTTTTGTCTGCCAAACGCTGTGAATTATTCGGCCCGTATGATCACGTGAAACAGTTTTATATGTGAATTGCATTTCACAACAGATTATTGAAAAGAAAGAGATAAAGGAATATGTCGATTTAGTCCAATGCAACAATGAAATTCATACATAAGAATGTTTACAACAAGGGCACGTTGCCTCAGCAATATATTTTTGTATATACGGATCCGTACTTTTCTCACGTACATTAATACCGCTTCCGATGGGGTTGAATGTCACGTAATCAATTAATAATGCCTCAGGATTATTTTCAAAAAAGGCATCACAAAAGGAATTGAAAGCTTCTTCGTCAGCGTGATTTGCATTCCGAAAAAAACGCCAGTAGATTACGCCATCAGATGTACGGCGACAAAGAACTTTATAGTCGAATAACATTTCTTAAAATGTCTGAAAGAAAGTAAAGAAATGCCCGACAATGATTTTCATGAAAAGAGAATGTACGCAATAAAGACGATTAGAAAATGCAAATATTGAAATATTAAAATACGGAGATTAGTGATTTATTCTATTCAGGAATTTGCAGCACATTGCGCATACCACCAAGCGATACCAAACGATCAACAATATCCTGAACAAGAGAATCCGTAATAGGCATTTTAAATAAAATCCCTGTATCTTCAGTATCCAGGTTTTTCCACTCGACATACAATACAGTCGAATTTTGAATAAACAGATTATTGCAAAATGCCGCTAGTTCATTATTATTTTGGAACGAATAAGTCTGCGACAATTGATGTATATACACCTGATTATTAATTCGCTGCACAAGAGATAATTCATATACCATATTTAAATTTTATCACGAACGATGCATAATTAATAAGCGGGATAAATTATAACAAACGTTCCGACAATAGTCAAAAGTACACAACAGTATTACAGCATATACATTACGGCAGAATATCTGACATCACTTGATGCATTGACTCTAACGTTCCAATCGGAACGTATAAGAGTATGGTATATTCAAATATACCACTGGCAAATTAGCGTTGGTGAAAAATTAATTTATTTTAAAAATTAATAACTGGTGCAACTTACAATACGGTGTTGCGCTTGATCCATCGTAGAACTGTGAACGCGGGAAAACGGCTTCCGTAGACGAAACGTAAGGCGGCCGGGTGGTCAGGTAACGGAATAACGATGCCGTAAATACCGGTCGCACGCGACTGTAGTAACCGACAGGTGGCTTCTCAGGATCGTCGGACCATTTGTTACGTAAATAATTGGCAGAGCGAAATAAACGAAAGGTCACGGCGGTATAAGACCGGCCGGTTTCGTAGTCTAATATGTGGTGTTTACGGAAATATGCATAAACGGCAACGAACGAGACGGCAATTGCGAGTCAGGAATTGTTATTGAAGGAAATTAGGCTGCACGGCTGTGACTGTCGTAGAAAAGCGCAAAAACATCGGTATAAAAGAGCAACAAGTGGAACGGTATATCAGATAACGGCATGTACGGGCATATCGCCCTTAACAATCAGAAAGCGCATTTCATGAGAATCGTCACATACTAAGTGATTCAGGCATTGGGCAAGGGAAAAGTAGCGAGCCGAGCATCAGGACAAAGTACATGTAACACTAGTGCCCTCGCACATCGCTATTAATACTTTAAATTAACGTTTGCGCGTACAAACAATACTTTTCTGGAGTTGTAACTTGACCTGTAGTAAAATCATTGTTAACGGCCCCTGCAGGAAGGGGATGGCGTATACGTTAAATGTACGTAATAAGATAATTACGTACAATGTTTACACAATAGCAACATTCGCGGTGACATTTATTGGAAAAATAAACTGACAATCAGCAGCAGAAGGAAAATAAACTGACAATATCCTCTGCGTCATTACTCAGCTACAGTCTACAAAACAACGCCCTTGACATACCTACCACAATCTTCACGATCTCACACCACGTAAATCTTTCTCAAACATTACATCTTCTGTCGCTTTCTCGGTTTCTCCAGTTCAGCAAAAAAATTCTCGATCATATCCTCTGGAACACAAAACTCCGGAACATATGTATTGCACTCGTTCGAGTAACCCAAGTGTTTCACAAAAAAAAATCGCATGCCACCAAATGCCTTCACGGCAATGATCCTCTCCGGTCCAGTACACGCCCACTCACCAACACATGCGCGCACTTCTGCATTTACAATATTATTAAATTAAATAATAATTCACAAACTTCATCTTTTATAAAAATTTTGCTTGATCATTAGGTTACCTTTGTAATATTTTGTGTGCCATCGAGTCTTAAAAGACCCGAGCCCACACCCAGTAATAAATTTTCCTAACAATCGCTTTGGCTTTCTCTCATGGCCTTTCTCTTCCGCTTTTTGCATTTCGTTACAAAAGCTTACAAACTTCATTCGCACGTCTTCTGCATAATTGCTCACGTCCAACTCACCATCAGTCAGATGGAACAAAACTGTAATAAAGTAAAGCATCACTAATCCACAGCCATACTCCATGCATACTAATATACTTTGAACATCCACCTTCACCATCTGTTCCATTCTCAACCACTTTCCCATTTTTGGGTTGCTCAATACATTATCACCAAATAATACTTTCACAAATTTCACCCACTCATCTTTATGGCAAAGCCCAGAAGAACAGAAATTATGACACCCTAGAACACCAAAAAACCGCATATTAACGGAAGTGGCCCGGTACATAGTACCAAATTCGTTTACATAAACGAAAACCGTCACTTTCGCGCACTGCCAAACACATTTTGTTTCAGTTCATCACATCCTGTAACCACATAATTTGTATACACTGCCGTGAATACCATTCTAGCGCGCAACATCCGGTTCGGAATATTTGGTACTAGCAAACTCCAAGAACTATAATCAGACTCGATCAGGTGCAGCTAAAGTATCATTATGGACAGATCTGCTTCAAAATTATGCAAATAAATGCACATAACAACGAAGAACGTTATACACCGATCCACATTGTTCAATCAAACCGATTTGAAGAAAATCAAAGAAATCGGGATCGTTTTAAGAACGATCATCATCGCCATTTTTATTTATGTGCAAAACTTGAAGAAGATCGATCCATAATGAGACTTTTAGTACACTACACTGATACAGATTGTGATAAAACAACAACAAAAAGGGATTTCCGAGTGCGTAAAAGCGAAAATTTTTGTGCACGTACTCGAATTTTCTACCATGAACCAAACAACTTCCTTAAAACCATCAATATATAACACAAAATAACAATTCGAATTACCCTTACCCTTTTCCCCCACAATAACCAAACTCCCATGTGAACCAAATTGAGTCTTTGTGTAAAACGGCACCAACACACATTCCGCATCACGGATCCACTGAGATGCCTCCAAATCACCCAAACCCGGCACACCAATAATTTCACCAAATTGACCTTTAGCATCACCAAACGTTGTCACCCATCTTAGCGATTCTACTCCAAAATAAACGACTCTTTTCTCCAGTCCTGCTCCTCTCAAAAAACTTCTGACCATATGATCAAAAAAACTGATCGGTTCCGGCATCACCGGCTTGAAGCAATTAAGCAACTTTCTGAAAAAGTTGAATTCTTCCCGTTTCTCCGCGATATTTTCACCACGTACGGATAACCCTTGCTCAATTTTTCCTCGAATTCCGGGACATAGAGTATCATATTTAGCATCGAACAAATGCCTAAACAATTTCTCACTGTCTTTAAATCGCTCCTTGCACTGATAACCTTTGCTCCCTTCTCCTAACCAATTTGCGCTGCATAAAAACTCTTTTTTCACTCTGCATCTCGTGCTTCTTCTGCACTCAACTTCCCCCGACATACTAAAATACTGACCTTTCTAACTTATCTTTAACAAAATGCTAGACAGGTACACAAATATACCACTGCAAACCATTACACTGATTACAGTAATCATTTTCTAATTAAAATTGACAGTCAACCTTTACACCACCTCAATCCCGCAACCGTCTCTTTTATTTAGGTACTTATATCCTTATGTATCCGCATCCATTCTTTCGTTACTCGGCAACATAATGGAAGTGCATAAATTTTCGAACTACCTTCTCCCTATAACCCTTACCACACACAGTATTACCACGTCAACTTTATTCTCACATCTCTCCTTCACTTCCACAGTTCGGCAAGATGGGGCGAGCGAAGCGAGCCCCCGTCTTGTAATGGTATACCGGTCATTTACTTTGATCCCACGACAATGCGACCTAAGAATGAAAATCACTGGACTGGTTATGGCACACTGTTAAATAATCATGTCAGTCGCAGTTTAGACAGAATGTTACTGCACTGAAAATAAATGTGGATAAATTAGTGCGTAAGGAAAGACTCCAAACGTGCAAAGCGCAAACGCAGTTTCCGCGAATGGATTACGAATTGGTGACATGTCCCTGGCCATCACTCTCCAATTATTTATCATGCTTATACGATTTTGAATGCGCATGGTGCGCGCCTTATTTTGGTTAAAAGTTTGCAGTCATCGGGATTTTACCTTAGCAGTCTTAGGAAAGCTCAGCATTTTACTAGTCAGACTCACACTCAGCGCCTCAGCGCGGGCCCCTTATTTTGAATGCATTATTTTGAATGCGCCTTATTTTGTTCAGTGCAGTGTTAAGTCGGATTTACGGTACATTGCTCCACCTTGTCTTGCAATAAACTTCCTGTCGACGATCAATCAGAGAGGCACGGAGTGGGCAAATCATTGTCATCTGGAACGGTTTTCCTTGGACCGCATTGTGTTTTTGTCCACCTGATTCGACGCCGTCTCCGGATGGTGGGAAGAGTCGACACTCTGCGAAAAACGAAATATGGCCGCAATCAAGTAAATAGAAATATTGCCTAATGGTATTCACTTATTGCAAAAATAACGGGAATTGTTCGTCAAATTTTCAGCTGCCGCGTTAAATAGGCGGCTAAAGTAAAAGCTGAGTGGGCGGAATGTTGTTTCAGATAAGTTAGTCAGATTGCCGATTCAGCAACCAGCCTACGCACCGTACCCAGTTTTCCTGCTATCTCGCCAGACGGTAAAGCATGGGCATTACGCTGAAATACAATATATGGTACCCGTTTCAAGTGGCGTGATTCATATGTTTTCGAATTTCGCTCAGACCTTGCAGTTTGCGAGTCCGGTTGTGTGCAATGTGGCATTTTGGAAGGTGTGCCTTTTTCTTAATATAAGTATGTACATCGTCGTTAACATATTTGACTGCGACGACTGAAATTGCTACTACGCCCGCTTTTTTTTAGAAACTGCAGATTTTCTGGTGGCAGCTTCTGTGGCTTGCAATATGCATTAGATACAGCCACGATTGCATGGACAAAATTAATGGTATTCCGTTACTTACTCCGTTGTTTCTGACAAACCTATCAACGAACCGGCCCAACGCCAAATTTGAACTATGTTACTACGGTATTACGAGTGTTGCAAGACGACGGTCGTTCGAGGAAAATACGACCATGGTTTTCTTCGTTGTAGCGACACTCGGGGATTCTTCGTTAATACCGTAGTAACATGGTTAAGTCAACCGTAGTAAAACCGTCGTAATTGAAACAGTAGTCGGCGGTATGTAACTACCGTAGAAATACGGTGGAGAAGCAAACACATTCTACGGTGGGAATACAGTCGTCCGTACTATGGGATATCTATTTTGTATTTCTGTGGGCGGAAACCATCGTAACACGGTAGTATTTTTATTTCAACTGGAACTTTAGCGTTTACTAAGATCACCAAGAAAAGGCTAGCAAATTAATGATAAAAATACAAAGTAAAATAAAAGTCCATACATCAGATCTCTGAGTCTGCTCACTGTCAGTGATGTAAAACAGTAAACCAGGAAAACGGAAATGATTTTAGAACTCTGAGTGCAAACAAAAACAGGAATATTTTTTATGGAATCCTTAAACTGCTCCGGGTCAGTGGAATATTTCCGATAAAAGCGAGACTGACAGTTTGCGACGCTTTATCCGAGTTTTTGCGTGGCGCATTTCTGCAAAATAATAAAAATAATGATCAATTAAAATTATCACTGAATACAGGGTATCGAAGAGACAGTAGTGTAATAATGGAAACCGACTAAATTAAGCAAATGATAGCGTGCGGTAAGGTAAGTGATTTTTCTCAATATGAATAAATTATGTAAGTAATATTGCAGAAGCAAGGTATTTTGCGTGTTGATTTAGTACAAGTAATGCGCGCGTATATTTTGTGTCTACATAGCGAACATGGGCAGATAAGTCATTAAAATTATTACCAATTGCAGTGACAGAACGTGGCAGCCTTCACGCGATGGCGATGTATGGTGGCGCCGCCAATGTGTAGTCGCTGGGATGCGTTCAGGGTATCTGCAACAACAGCGGTTTGGGAGAGAACTAAGGTCTTAGAATATTGCCAATAGCAATTTTTCGACCAGACGAAAAATATTGCACCCATCCTAGTATTTTACTTCCATAATACGTATTAGAATATTTTACTTGCATGATACATAGAAGAAAATGATATTCACTCGCTTTTGAATATTACTGTATATGAGTCACAGTCACACTTTTATATTCGTAGCATAAAAAATCATTAAAGGAAATCGTAATTGACTTAATCTTAATCTTTCCTGTTGCAAACTTCTGGCCGAGGACTGTTGAAGGTTTTAAACGTTTCCAAATTCTCTACAAAATGCATATCGATTCAAAACCTTGCAGCCTGCACTCAGTGACTGCAGTCCATGCAGTTCTCCAGAAAACTTTTCGATTTTTTAATCCTATTCTGCAATAACGCGATAATTATTCATTCTCACAATCTCACAGACTCATTTCTGCAGAAACATGCATTATATTCTGCAGCATTTTAAAGTATTTGAGAAGCTTCGGTAAACAATACAATGTTTGAGATACTTCGAAAAGATAACCTTACCCTTATAGTTCTTAGTAGTTCTTACCTCCGCCGCATCCGCCGTCCGCGGAATATTTTTGGACATCAGTCCAGCCTGGATAAGCTGTATGGGTCTTTTGAAGCATTACGAGCTATTCCTAACTTTTTCAGGCCAAGTTCGAAAAAGAATAGTTACAGTTTTAATAGAATTTAAGCAAATGCGCTTCTAAAATAGTGGTTTTAGGTTTACATTTCAACACATGCGGCTCAAATGTTAGTACAGTTCGGTTTGCTCTGATTCGGTAACGTGGCCGAGAGAAAAAAGCAATGTCTACCGCCACAAGGTGATAACTACGTCTTTACCACCAACAAGATTAGTCAGGTAACTACCGGCTCGGCCAAGCCGCGAAGGTAACGAAAAAAATGAATTTTTTGGAACAAAACCCTCCAAAATATTTCAGTTTCGGACATTTGTACAAACGCTCTAAAGTGAAGAAATTTTTTGGGCTAGCTCCAAGAAACCTTAACCATAATAACGAAAAAAAAGTAAATTTTAATCGAGCGGCGCGCCAGAAGGCTTCGTAAATTAAAGAGTATTCGTAGTGTGTCGGTACCTGGTACCAAGTAACAACAGATAACTCCCGAACCGGATGTTGCGCGCGCAGTTAGATCTTCGTTCAACTCATACTAACTTCTAAGTGGATGTTGCGCGCACGCATGGCGTATATATGTATACAAATCATCTGGCTACAGAATGCCGTAAATTTAAAGTGTTTAAGGGAAGTGTCCCGGTACATGGTACCGAGTTGGTGTACATCAACAAAGTCTTTCAATTTCGCGCACTTCTAAACCTTTTTTCTCTTGTTTATGATATTCTCTAGCCAGATGATTTGTGAACACTGGCGTAAAAACCGTTTGGGCGCGCAACATCCGGTTCGGGAGATATGGCTGTTAGAAAATCCCAAAAAGTTTAAATGCATTCAGGTGTACCAAAAGTCTCATCATATACCGCTCTCCTTCAGATTTTGCACGTAAATGCACATAAGCTCGAACAAGGTTTTTACACCGATCCACTGTTCTAGAATTTTTCAAATTTTGAAATTTATTTTAAAATCCGAAAAAAAACATGAAAGTTTGGATCGGTGTAAAACGATCCTCATGGCCACGTGCATTTACGTGCAAAACTTGAAAGAGATCGGTCCATCATGAGACTTTTGGTACATCTGAATGCATTTAAATTTTTTGGAATTTTCTAACGGCCATACCGACCGAACCGGATGTTGCGCGCACAAACGGTTTTCACGCCAGTAGATACAGATCATCTGGCTACAGAAGTGTCATAAACCGAAACAAAAAGCGTTTGGGAGTGCGCGAAAGTGAAAGTTTTCGTGCAACAACACGATTTTGGTATGCACAAAGTTGCTGACAGGTGAGTGTATGTGTAAGGGTCACTGTTCAGGGCTACTGAGAGAACGGAATTTTCTACTGCACACGAGCGGAAGACAGTGCGTAATCGCGAAATTCATTGTCTAACAGCTTGGTTTTTGTGTGCGTCTTCCGTTCGTATGTATATGTAATAGCAGGTCCTGTAACTTCCGTTCACTCAACAGCCCTGGCCATGGATTCCTGAATTTGTGCACTGGTATGGACTTTGGGTTGAAGCGTTCTGAGAATCATATATCGGGCCGCAAAGCGCAGTAGATCAAATACTCGTAGTATGCGGTCAAATAATATCTCGTACTATCTGTTCGCTTTAATCTTTCTTCGCCTCGCCATGCTGCATCCTAATAAATCTTGGACAATAATCTCGGATCGTAAAATAATTATTTTCAGGGAACTTGACTGTAGGTCAAAATACAGTCGGAGGCGCAGCCGAAGATGACTCTTGTAAATGAAATATTGAAAACCGGGTTTTCCGTATAATTACTGTACAACTTTGGTAGGGACTATTTCAAAGCAGCAATTTTGTTTTCTTGCAGATGGATGCACCCAAGGCCAATGAGAAAGCTCAGCAGGGCTCGTGTGTGACGGTGTACCATGACCGCATCATTCGATCATCAATGTTATAAGCCGTTGTACAGTTCGTCTTACACTTATGTCATTAATTGCATTGTTGTGCTTATTGCCAAGCACACTACTAAATAATAATAATTATAATCCATACCACAGCATCCATTGGTTTTCGTTACCTTACCAACCGGTTATCACGCTTTTATTGAATTAATTAGCTTCGATTTTGATACGTAAATCGCCTCAATAAAAAATACGAAACATTTTCCGCGTAAAGTACGTACTAGGCAGTTTTTGCTGCCTCCACAGATTTTTTTGCAGCACTTCCCGTACGTTTATTGTGGGGAATCGAGCGATTTTGGTGTGATTTTTCATCAGGATATTTGGCTCTCCTCAAATGAAAAATGATGAAAAAATCGGTGGCAGTGGATATTTTTTGTGGGCTGCTAGTTCTGATTGCTGTGTGTAATCTGCAGTTTTTGGATGCATGCGCAACCCACTCGGCGAGGCAACCTACCCGAACGGATGCAGCACTAGTACTGCAAAGGGCGAAGGCCGACCTCAGAGCCATATTCGAAGAATGCTGGAACTATACCGGTAGGTCAGCGTGTGTACAGTAATTACGGGTGATTGTTGTCTTATTGTTGGAACACAGTGCACAGGCTAATTTAATGTAGAATTACGGATACCGCAGTATGGTATCTTAGCAAGGAATTAACTATATAAGCAGACCGTAATACCAGCTTCCTCAGACGGGCGCCCATCATGGAGATCGAACGGTTATAAAAAAATTAAGAGGCATTTTAAATTTTTTTGCAATGTACCTTATACCATAGAACTTCAATGGTATTTAAGGTAAAGAGCAGGTCCTAAATAGCTTCTATGATGGTGTTACATCGTTCGCAAACATCATTTGACGTGCAAATATTCTTCTATCCGTACAAACATTGTCTCCGAAAACTTAACACTGTACAATAGACGAAGTATACGAAAAACATACAAAAACAAGAGACATAAAAAAACGGAATAACATAAGAACAAAATTAGAAGAATAAAAACTAAATAATATTAATAATAAGAATAAAAACAGAAACAAGAAAATGAGAAGATGAGTACATAAAAAAAGAAGAAGAGATAAGAAAATGAGAGGCGACCGTAGGACGACCGGCTGATTTCTAATTATTTTTGTCAAGCGTGCATGAAAATAATATATCATTGTTATGTAAGGTATTGTTGAACTTGATATAAGTATGATTGGGACAGATACTTAAGGAGCAGAAAGCGCGAGTTGTTTGTCTCTTGCATAAACACCTGACTGCATGACGTTTATGAACGTTAAGGAAACGTATACTGCATTCATTGTGTGCCCGCAGCTTTTCGTCAGATCCATCAGGCGGAAGTGTTGCACATGAACACGAATCCTGTTCGGCTGCCGGAGCTCTCCGCGCCCCCTCCCGATCCTAAAGGTAACGTGCACCGTCCTTTCTTGGACGAGACCATCAGCCTGGCGTGCGCGGCCGGTTCGAGTCAGCCGAATGATGTGGTGTGGAAACACGAAGGTCACCCGTTAGCCCTCAACCAGACGGCGGGAACCTTTCGCTACAGCCGCGCTCGTGACAATTCCCTCACTCTGCACAACGTCACCTACGCGGCGTGGGGCAAGTTCGAGTGTCTGCAGCGCTGTCAGATGGAAGCGTGGTGCGTCCAGGCGGAGTACTGGGTCTTCCCCAAACCAGTGCCTAGAGTGCACGAGGTTTTCACGCAGCGCCTACTCCCGGTGGTTGTTCCGCGTTACACGCCCTTCTCGGTCACGTGTCAACTGGAGTTCCCTTGTAGTCCCGAACCAGCTCAGCACTTCGTCTGGCGTTATAGCGGGATCTATCTGTCCTGGCCGCCGGGTCACTACCTGCAGCAGACGGCCTGCATCGATCCAGACCGGCAGACGTTGATGATCCACACCAACTCCACCGAGATAACCGGCGCCGACGGTCGTCAGCACTGCGCCTCGACACTGACGCTGCACGTGCCCTGGCCGGAGCACAAATTAGGCAGCCAGGTGGAGTGCTGGGCGCGCTCCGACACCACCCAGCAGGAATGGTACGTCCTCGCCACTCCCGTTCAATTCAATGGAAGCCTGCCCTTCCCGGGATAAACGTGGTTGAACTTTCCTAATATTGTAATTGAATGCGGCTCGAATTAAGAAATTTGTTGTTGGTGCTCGTCTTGAGAACTCTTACCAATACGTGATCAAAAATAAATGTTGACTGTCGACTGCGAACATACAACGATGCCAGCTTGCCTTACATTTTAGGCTACCCCAAGAAATATCGTGTAACATCAAACGCCATGCCGCTTAATTTTAAAACTCTTTAAATGGATCGCGTAATCGTTTGCCACACATCATGTCGACCATACTTTTAGTGTAGGTACCTGCCGTGTATCGACGAGTATTAGGTCACAGCCAATCGGATGACAAACTGGCTACGCAAAATAATTTATCATCAGTATTACGAATACGCCTACGCACTTGACCTACTGAAACAGACGGTACAACTTCACCTGGAAAATTCAAACTGAAAGTACAACTTGACATACTGAAACTTTGCGGCCCTTCCGCAATATTCTGTATGCACGTGACGGTTCCCGGGCAAGCTGCTGTAGTGTAGTATGACTGACCATTAGTCTAGTTGGTACTTGAAAATTCTTATGGCCCCACTTTTCTTGAAATGAAATTTAAAAGAAATTTTCTTACCAAGTGTCCACACTGGGCAGAATAATCCTATGTAAGCATGATCCCTGTCCCTTTGGAACCTTTCCTGGGAAGAGTCACAACTGCACAGACTGGCACAGCTAACTCAGACGAAGGAGTCTCTATGCGCAGATTCTCACAGGAAACGGCGTTGGTCGGCGGCGGCTTCGACGCATTTTGCGGTAGAAGCCGCTATACTACTGTAGAAAACCTTCTTTCACGCCCAGCGCAGCAGCCGCTGCGGTTCGTCTTAAAAATTGGCGTAATAAAAACTTTTCCGTAGACACATAAGTAAACAGTAATTAGATTATCTGCTGTCTTAATGCTGATATCACAAGCCTGATGATAGGCCTCCGTTTACTGTCGGTTGGGTGCACGTCCCGGCGCCGCGCCACGACGCTAAACAGGCCGATGTTGGTGGACTAATTGTAGTCACAAATACAGTTACAGTGTACCGTAACTAGAGATTCAACGGTTATTTGAGCGCTGGATATACAACTTAAAAAGCTGAGGATAGAAAGGCGCGATTACGCGCGGCGTTTGAGCGTAGCGTGTACGAAACGATTTTACTTATAATAGATACGTACGCGTACGCGTCTCCTGCAGTCTAAATGCAGTCCGGCTGCAGAGACAGCTTTTTTCGCTGGAAAAGCATCTCAGATGTTCGCGCACTGTTTTGTGCAATCTTGGCTAAACTTTGTTCTTCCTTACCTTCCGTCATTTTATTTCGTAACAGAAACGTTGCTACATGAAACGTTTTTATCATTAATATTTTAAAGCACGGGTTGTTAAGTGGCCAAGTGCTGACAATTACCGGCTGAGGCAGTCAGATTTGGGGTCCACGTATCTCCCATACGCCACAAGCACGGCCACCAATCAGACGTCGTCGGACTTATGGCCAGGGTCATGTCGAAGGTGTTCTCGAAGGCGGTGGCCTTGGGAATAATCATGCTGGAGACGGTGTGGAAGGCGTGCGTCAGCGTTCCCGCGCAACGGAAGCAACTTCCCCGACAGGAACATCTCGCGCGGATACGACAGGTAGTCCGTGCCGTTTAAACCGCTGGTCAACTGCCGGTCCTCGCGCAAACTGGCCACCAACGCCAGCGCCACAATCACCTTCGTCTTAACACGGAGCAGTATTCATCCGTGTTGATTTACTTTGATTTCCTTACAATGGTCCCAGTTAAACTGTGCATCGGTAACTCGGTAACCCATGCTTACGTGCTATATTCGTTGTGGTAAGTGGTCCGGGTAAGAGCCATGATACGGCGCTTTTTGCACTTTCTGCAAATTAACCCGCTTTGCCAAGAAAATGCACAGGATTGCTGGTGAGTCTACCTGGCTGGATTTTGCCTAGCCATGCTTTACTGTCGGATTATCTATCGCCGGCTAGTGATGATTACTGCATAATTAATCAATTAGTAACGTGACTGTGTAGTTCTCAGTCTCAAAAGGGTGCATGTAACGAATGATGTTCGCTTACTGGAACAGGCTTACAATAAAAATCTTCGAAGATGAACCTTGGACAGGTATATCATTGCATTACATTTGCATAGGTAACGGAAAATTATGATCGAACCTTTATCCCGTATGCAGGCTGTTGCCGGCTAGGGCCTGTCAGCAGCAAATCAAAGTTTGTGGAAAACCAGCGTGCTGTATAAATTATTTAGCACGAAACGAAGTTAATTGCTGCCGCTATTTCGAACGATTACGATTATACAGTATAATCGTAATCGTTCGAAATATCGGCTGCCACCAGCTTATTCTTCTCGTCCGATTCGGTTTTACGAATGCCCGTCAATGCAACGGGATCCGATAGGCTCCGCTCTCTGAAAGATTGAATAAACGGTTAAATTAATGGCTTTTTAAGGGTTTAATTTAAATTACGGTGTAGCGTGGCATGGCTTGCAAGCTGCAACTACTGTTACCTGCCTTGGCTAGTGTCTGTTAAACAAATTTTGATATCACTAAATCGGAGTGCCTTAACTTTTACAAGAACCACAACGGACGCAGACACCACATTTCGCTTTTATCCATGGCACAACGAGGTCGTGCAGACTGCTTGCGAGATAATATATCGCATTCACGTCAAATAGAACTCGCATAATCGTTGCTTAGCGCATTTTCAGTAGACCGTGTTATATGACCGGGGGGAACCGGGTGGGCCAAAACGGCTTAAAGACGCTATCCTTCTGCCGAAATGCTCCTGTCTTTTCACATTATAGAATATAGCAAAGACACAAACATTCCGGCAGAAGTTAGTGCTAACCCGACAATACCACGGCGAACAAATGTATACTTTATAAATGATCCGATTGGGTATTCTGCGCCGCCAGCATAGGCACTGCTAGCCGGTTGAAAATTTTCTGAACATCACACATAATGAGATGGTCGAACGGCGAACCGTTCTATTATCTCATTGTGCGTGATGTTCAGCTCCGCGGATAGAATTGCCCGAATTTCGATTTTGCTGTCTCCGAAGAGCCGGTTCTTTTGAGTGGAACCGTTTTCCACTGCTCAACGATTAGTAAATAGGCCAACTAGAAGATCAAGGTGGATAAGAAGTGCAAGATCGGCTGTCAAGTAAATCAAGTCGGTCGCAGTTTAGAATGTTACTGCACTAAAAATAAAATTAATGTGGATGTGGCGCCAGGAAAGATTGGAGATGTGCAAATCGAAAACGCAGTCTCCGCGAATGGAGAAGAGTTAACGCACTCTATGAAAAGCGGATATGGCCATAATCAAGTAAACAGAAAGGTTATCGCCTTAAGATACGATTACTGCAAAAAAAAAACTCGTATTACTGCAAAAATAAGGCGAATTGTTCGTCAAAATTTCCAGCTGCGAAGTTAAATACGCGGCTGAAGTGAAAGCTGATTGGGCTGAAGGAGGGCGCGGGCAATAATATACCGCGGGCATGTACGTTCCGCTGTATGAGAGAAATGCCGTTTTCCGCGATTTTCAGCCAGAACAGCTGCTCCTATGTAGCTTGTCTGTGCGCGTACTGCCGCAACTGCGTGAGTTGCGCGAATGTATCACACATTCACATTATAGTTGTTATCATTCTACTTAACCTTAGCATCAGTATGTATTGATCATCACCTGAGTCATTGTTATTTTAAATAAGTTAGCCAGAATGCCGATTCAGCAACCAGCCAACGCACCGCGCCCAGGTTTCCTGCTATCTTGCCAGACGGTATTAAAAGCATGGGCATTACGCTGAAATAAATTATGGTACCCGTTTCAAGTGGCGTGAGTCATATTTTTCCGAATTTTGCTCAGACCTTGCAGTTTGCGAGTCCGGTTATGCGCAACGCGGCATTTTGGAAGGTGTGTCTGTTTCACGTGGCGTAATATTACCAAGCACTTACTGCATGTGGACATACTGGTCGTAACATGACAATTATGCATTGTCCCTCAACGTATATGTTATACGTATATGTCAGCGACCACTGAAACTGCAATTACCGTACGCCAACTTTCTCTCAAATTGCAGATTCTCTGGGGATAGCTTATGTGGCTTGAAATATGCATTAGATACAATTATGACTGCATGGACAAATGGTAGTCCGTTACTTACTCCGTTGTTTCTAACCAACCTATCAACGTACCGGTGTTTGTTCATTGTAGACTTGTAGTATATACAGTACAAAGAAAACTCGTTAAAACTGAACATCCATTAAAACCACCAGAAAATAACCCACCGGCTGCCTTCAAAAGAAGTGCACTGGTTTGCCAAGTTAGGCAAGTGCTCCTTGGCAGAAACAATTACTAAAAATAAAATAAAAGCAGGGAATGCTCTAATCAGCGCTCGGAGACCCTGTTTTCCAGTGCAAACTGTAGTAGCAGGGTAATACCGCAGTTACAAAGCATAATTACACATGATACTTTTCATCATTGTATTCGTATTGGGCCGCGCCCACTGAATCATTGCCGATGAAAACATTTTTTTAACGGTAACCGATTAATTTTATCCGATTGACTTCCTTGCAGACAGTTAAATTTTTCTGAGGCGAGCCTACAACGGGAAATTTTATTTATTATTTAACGATATCGATTAAACATAATATGAAGTCAGAAGCATCGCATAGCACTAACAGACAGCGGAAAGGAATGTACGTTATACACTGTGCAAGTGTTCAGTGTACATACATCAAGGCATACGCGTACTTAGAACAGCTGTTCAGTACTGACCCGATAATAATGCAGAAAACACTCGCTGTCTGTGCTGAGGAATCATTTTACGAAGTGGCTATTTTACCCCAGTGTTTGTGGCAAAATAGCTTTTGGCTATTTTGCCCCAGTATGTGGGGCAAAATAGCCTTTTGCTATTTTGCCCCACACTGCGCTTAAATAGCCTTCGGCTATTTTGCCCCAGTACAGTCCGCCAAATAGCTGTTAGCTAATTCGTCAAATGCTCTATTAAGCTAGATCCAGGATGGATCCAGATACAGAGACCTAAACGGGATAGGTCCTGTGGAGTGAGCAATGCTG